CGGATGAAACGTGTGAGTAAACAGCCCACACCAAAAGGTGAGCAACCTGGCTGACTACTGGCCATTCTGTCTCATGTAGGGCAGGATCTGTACAACACCACAAAGACGCGGGTGGATGAAATTCTGGAGGAAGTGGATCCAGAAGATGATGCCATCATGGAAGAGTTGGCTGAATTGCTCAAGGACCTCGACAAGTACAATTATTCTGTCACTACCAAAAAACAACACCTAGACAAGCTTATCTCTCAAGGTTGTGAAGGAGAGATTGAGATAGTGGTTTTTGACCCGGTCAACATAAGGAAGCACAGGGAGCGTGGAAGAAACAGTATGTCTGTTCCTCAACATGATGAACTACCTGATCTGACTTGGTTTTATTAGTCACTTCTTCCCCACAGATACTCACCAAGCGCAAAAGAACCATTGTTCATTACAAAGAACCACGTGTGGGGAAGGCCAAGGGCCAAAAGAAAGCATACAAGAGCACCAAAACAAATACTGCATTCGACAAGGACGCCATTGAAGAGGATCAACTCCAAAATGACGAATCAAACACATCAGATCACCCCACGCCATTAGTATTCAATGATAGCCACATGGACCTGAGTAGTAAGCCATTTTATTGCTGGTTAGAGATGTTCCCCACCCTTCCTACCCACACCCACTCAGCCAAAACATGTCCACAATGTTTTCCACAGCAAAGTATTATCCGCACTGCATCAGCCATTTGCTGGAAAGTGCCCTGACTAATCCTCGCCATAATGACCTTTTTGGCGAGGATTGGCCCAATAATGTGTATGAATAGTGCTCAGTCAAATCCTTGCCAAACTATTGGATTTGGCGAGGATTTGGCATCTTCAGCCTGATGATTTCCTTCTGGCCTCACATTGCTGTGTACCGTGAATGCCTTGAAGGGAAGTAGCTGATCATGTATTTCCTTTGTAGAAATCATCAAAGGTGTCACCCCTCATGAAGTAGTCTGCATCACCTCTTTCGCCATTCTCCTACCGTCCCATCAGTTTAATTGGGGACGTGCTTTGGGAGCTAGTGTTAGGAATATCATACACTGTTTAGGTCATGCCTTACCTCCTGTGAAGGCTACTGGGTCTCTTAGATCCTTGGAGCTTCACGTGGTCAAATTAAAAGAGATATGCAACCATAAAGACATGATAAACTTTCTAAAGACAGGTAAATCTTTTTATGTTCTTTGTATATGTACCTCAGAACTGACCACTTTTGTTGATGGGGCAGCACCTAACCTTCTGCAGCTATCTGCGGCAAATCAATTCTTAACCCAGGATTCTATCAAGTGGGAACTGCTCAAAGAATCAACCAATCATCCGTGGTCAAAAAGGAATGGAGTCTTTCGAGCCTTGCATTCAATGGCTTGTAGAACTGACGACACTATCCAATGGACATCTGAGTCTAGTATCAATAATAAACTCAAATGTGCCTATCTCACCATCAGGCAGATTCTTTTGGACTCCATTGGTGTGATATCTTATCACACTGGACACAAGACCATCCAAATTCATACAACTGGTGTCAATGCAGTCCCCGATGACATGGTGAATTTAGCTAAGGGGATTGGCTGGGTTTATCAGCAAATCATGATACGTGATCAAGTAGAGGAGGAAAATGATTTGAAAAAGGTTCACAAGCACGGTATTGCATGGCTTCAAAAACGATATTTACAAGTCTTCTTGGGTGTTATGGTTATTTATGAAAATGAAATCTACAACCAAAAGTTTGAAGCTTATGTTCAGGAACCACGATCGCAGGCGGACATCAAGAAAGAAAAGAAAAGAATCAAAGAAGCCTCTTGTCTCAATCAGTTGTCTCAAAGCTGGGTCAATCATCATCCTGAAAGAGTCCTCAAAGCTTCAAGTCAGACCATTACAAATACTAGTGACCTTGACAAACTCACTGATGATCAACAAAGAGTCCAGGCTGTGCGTGACGCCAGTGAAACTCGCAGCAATGCTCTACGGGCGCTCAGTCTATTCCTCATGTTTGGCACTGCTGGCCTTTTTCACGTTTGGACAAACCGCCGCGAGGTTCTACTACACGACTCCTCCTATTTACTAAACTTGACATCTATTCTTGCTCTACGCCATCACAATTCAAAGGACAAAGACCCCAATGCTTTCCTTGGACGTGCATGGTGTCGCCTGGATGATTATGTAATTACGACACTTGGCCGATTCCTCAACAACGATGGCAAATTCGTGGAAGACTTGGACTGGGCAGCAATGACTGAGCGCCTCAATGATGATTTTGAGGCTTCTAGGCTGACACCTCTGTTCATACTAGATCTTTATGAAGAGCTCTTCACCCTGGGACGGAGCAGAACACCAGAAGGGTATGAGGCGCCTCCAGTCAACTTTGCAGGTAGGAAAAACTTTCCAAACTTGACAATTGATTGCAAAAACTATGATCATGATTCTGGTTCAGATGTTTCATCTGGACTGTCTGAACCTGAGGATAATGAAAGTTGAAAGAATGATCAATAATGGAGGTATAAGGGGAATTGGTGGCCCCATTTGTATTCGTTCCTATTTTGTCTTTTCTCTTCATGTCAATTGAATCATGATATTCCAAAGCTTTGATTAATGAGAGTTGATCAAAGTCATCTCCTAGTCCACTGTGACTGAAATTAGATAGGATATTATCCAAAACCTCCCCATCAATCTGTTGGTTCATGGTGATAATTTGACAATCATGGTGGTCTGAAGCAATACCTTGCCCCAGCTTGTGAGCTAGATATGTGTGCACCAAAAAAGCTTTGTTCAGGCCAAATGGTCAGTAGCAAGGTAGGAAGGCCGAGAATCAGGTATCACCGCAACAATCCAATACATCAGAGCATGAATGATCAACAAGGCCTTTCATCACCACCGGAGCACTATGACATCCTGCCCATAGTGTTTAATCCAGCAAATCCACCCTACATCACATGAATTGGGAATTGTCTCTATGTTGCAGTCTCCTCTTCTTGCCCCCAATACCTTCTGGACCGGCTTGAAGTTGCTTTAAGAATTATCCAGGACAAAATTCCAAAAAAAAAACAATCAAATCAACAAGAATCTTGAAGCTGGGAAGGAATTAGCACCGTCCAAAATTGAATGGATGGACCATGGCGGAAATTTAAGAACTGAACAACTTTTCATGGACATGATCTTAACCATGGAGGAGGACAAGCCCTCAAAGCTTGATAAATTTGAGTTACAAGCCTTCAACACTATCACCAAGAATGCGAAAGCTTTCCAAGATGCTAAAGATTTAAAGAAGATTAAGAAAAGAAGACACATTCAGCCTACACTTTCAAGCAAAAAGCTTTCAAAACCACTCTCAGCTCCGAAGAAACCTGACAAGCGATCTGCAATGTTCAAGGAACATTGATGTCATGGATTGGTACCATGCCAATGGAAAGAATCAATCAAAGACTGCTAGAAAATTACTCATCAGTTCTTGGATATTGCAAGAACTTGCAATTTGAAAAAATTTGACGACTTCAGGAGGAAAGCGGGGAAAGGATGTCACATTTCCCAAAGTCAATTGACTTCTTGATACATACATCCAGAATGCAAATCAAAAGGTATGCTCCTACCTGGCAAAGAAATCAAGGAACAATGGCGTGAATTTGCCCGACTCCAATGCCAAGCAGCTCCTGGCTGAGTCTCAAGGTGGCTTGACTGTTCCAGAGGAGAAAGATCTTACGTGAATACAAAAAACATGGGGAAGCTGCTTCAGCTTCTCAGGGAAAAGTTGAGAGTGAAGTTGAACGTGTGCGTCTGATTACAACATGGATGAGCAGTCTATTTTATGCGTAAGTTTTCATTTCATTTATACATTTGTATATATTATTTTTATTTCATTCTTTGACTGTTCCATAATTTAGACTACCACCTGACCAAGGCCTCACCCAACAAGGTGGTCATGGGGTCAAAGCCTCAAAGGATCACATCACTGTCCTCTTAGCTTGTAAGACTGATGGATCCAATTGCCTCGGAACTCCTGTCTGTTTTATTGGTCAATATAAAAGTCACCGCTGCTTCAATAGAGTCACACCTCAAGCTTTAAAAATCAAACACTATGTAAGGAAGAATGTGTGGATGGACACAAAGATTTTCCAACAATGGATTGGATCTTGAGATCATCAACTCGGACATGAAGGGCGTCATTATTCTGCTCATCAATCACTTCTCTGGTCATTCAGTGCCTGAGGGGTTTTTAAAGCACATCCAAATGAAAATCTTTAAGCTCAATCTCGCTGTGCATGTCCAACCATTGGACGCGGGTATCATCAACCCTTTCAAGGCTCAATATTGACAATGATTCCTTTCCCTTTTGCTCTAAATATTCAAGGATCATGTGGAAGTATCTAAATTTCACACCATTGATATCTTCACTGGCATGCGCATGGCTAAGCTTGCATGGTCTTCAGTCAGTCAACATCAAGAATTGTTGGTGTCATACAGGGATCGTGGATTTTGGAGAATAGGAATGACCAGATGGAAGTAATGTAATTCTTCCTCTTTTGTTGTGTTGTAATTGAATATAACCTGTTGTATTTGGAATATACATAACAGATTGTTGAATCCCAAGCTTTTGAATCCACAAGGCAAGAATAACCTGTTTCAGTAACAGCAGAGGAATGGTTTGAGGCACAGTCAATTAGAAGTTGAGGCTGCTCAGACGGAGCAGTATGAACTTACGATTTCTGCTATGATCCATAATAACCACAAAGCAATGCAAAATGGGGAATAAGTAGGTCAGAGCCACAATCCATTGATGGAGAAGAAGTGGTTTAGGTGATAAGCATTAAGAAATAGGCTGGTGAGGTGGATTGTGTAGAATTGATAGGAATCTTGTAAAGAATCCATGATGAAGTGTGGAGTTGATTTTTCAAAACTCAGGCCAAATACAATGTATGTATCTGGAGTCTGAATAGTTGAATGAGTTGAACAATCAAGTTGCAGTCTTGAGTGTGTTCCTGAAAATTGAATCTAAACTCAAACAAAGAGAGACAAAAGGTCGATTGGGGAAATTCGATTGAAGAACTCCCACTGAGCAGCATGCTCCTCATCTCAACATCAATCCTATCACTTGGTTAAAACTGATCATGTCAGGTATTTTCACCTTCAGGGGGTGTAGTCCTTAAATCAGAGCTGGGGTACGCTAACCAAAGCAAACAGCTAACATCAGTTCTTGATGGCTGTTGGTGTACATGTAGAAATCCAGCTAACCCTACAAACATAGCTGTACCAAGTTATCACAAACTCCAAGATCTGCCAGTGTAGATCACCATGTCTAACAGAAAGTGTCCTGTTAGATGTACCAAAAAATTACGCTACCAGCTTCTCTAACACTTTTTTGGCGTAATTGGTCCAGCTTTGCTTTCTCCAATCAGGTTTTGAACCCATTTATTCCCGCGGTGTCAGCCAAGGGATCAAGCCATATACACAAGGACATAGTTCCTATGGCTATACATTTAAAACCCTCTACAGCCATGATTTCTATGTCTTCAGAGGGTTTTAAATGTATGGCTACACTTTAAACCCCTCCACAGCCATGATTTCTATGGTTTTAGAGGGTATTACATGTATAGGCATGAATGTATGCCTATAGAGGGGCTCCCCAACAAAGACATAAGCCCTCTTTAGCCATACATTTCCCTTTCCACCAAGAGGTATGGCTTCAGAGGGGTTTGACTGCAGAAGTAACAACAGAGGATCTACTTGGCCACGGGATGACCCAAAGCTTGCCATTACAAATCAGGTGGCAAGCTTTTGTTGTTGCAGAACCCAAATATGGTCAAGAGTTCAAGGTTCACTTGCTAGCACCCTCAAGGGTGGTGTGTATGACTTATGATATGAAATTGCTTCAATTGACCCACACTACCACTATCTACAAAGTACACTACTACGACCCAAGAAATTTACAGCAGCCTTATCCTGTCTACTCAAAGTGCCTGGCCTTTGCTCATTGGGGTCTGAACATCACTCAGATGAAGAGCCTGGCTGGGGATCCTGATCCACCTCTTCATCATCTTCCACATCAGGGACATCCTCATGATCAATCTCCAAATCAGGGAAGCGTTGTTTACCCGCAAGCATGACTTGAGGTGCTTCTGAACCACACGGGGACCTGCTATGTCCAGGATGTGCAAGTTCATCGTATATGTCCATAATGAACAGTGCGGAGAGGGAGGCAGTATCAAAGTCTTCATTGAATATAGTGGTCATGTTGTACCAGTTAATATCGTCCTTGAATTCCCCGTGCTTGTTGATAAACAGACCTAACACTGTGCAGATGTAGTATTTTTCCACCATGCAAAATGATTAAAATTAATGTCAAAATGATTAAAAATGCTGTGTTAATGCATAAAAATGCACTATTAATGCACCATTCATGTGGAAAAATGCAGCATCAATGCAGTAAAATGCAGTGTTAATGCACACACAAAATGAATTCAGAATTCTACCTTTTTCAATTTTGTTTGTCCTTCAGGTCAATCATTTTTCACTTGGGAAAAATACTACATCTGCCCAGTGTAAAGTCGTGATCACAAGATCATCCAGCCGACACCAAGCGCGTTTGTAAAAGGCATTTCGATCTCTGTTTTCAGAATTATGATATCGGAGGGCCAAGATTGAACACATGTTGATGAGGTGGGATGGGTCGTGTAAGATGACATCCCTCCGGTTGGTCCAGACATGGAATAGGCCAGCTGTTCCATAGAGCAGAAACAGGCTCAGAGCACGAAGTGCATCACTACGGGTCTCGCTAGCGTCGCGAGTGGCCTGCACCTTGCATTGATCTTCAGTAAGGTCTTGTGCAACACCGTTCGTGACTGACTTTCCAGCACTCTTGAGTGCTCGCTGCGGATGAAGATTCACCCAGTTGAGAGATAATTGATTTAGACAAGAGGCATCCTTCAAATCCTTCCTTTCATTCCAAATTTCCGCTTGAGTCCTTGCCTCATTGTTGATGAAATCATCAAATTTTTTGTTGTAAACATGACCTTCGTAGATTAGCATCAACCCAATGATCACCAGTAAGTAACGTCTTTGAAGCCAAGCAATGCCATGCTTATGAACCTTTTTGTTCTCATTTTCTTCCTCCCCTTGAACACGCACCATGATTTGTAGATATAGCCACCCAATACCTTTAGACAAAGCCACCATATCTTCAGGAACAGCATGAATACCAGTAGTGCTAATATTGATATCCGCATGTTCAGTATGATAAGATATCAAGTCAATACTATCACAAAGTATTTGCTTCAATGTACGAAAAGAGTTGTTAAGTTTACTTTTGAGGCTAGGTTCAGAGGTCCATTGAAGCGTGTTGTCAGTCCTACACGCCATTGAATGTAAAGCCCTGTAAAAACCACCCCTTTTGGCCCATGGGTGATTGATGGAAGCTTCAAGAATTTCCCAGTTGAGACAATCTTGAGTGAAAAACTGATTGTCAATGGACAGTTGAAGCAAGTTAGGAGCTATGAAGGTATCAGAATGGAGTCAGAAACTAAACAGATTGCATTTTAATCCTTGAAAAGGACACACACCTGTTTTGAGAAAGTTCAGCATGTCTTTATGTATGCAAACCTCCTTAAGTTTGGCAACATGTGCCTCTAATGACTTGACTGACCCCGCGGCCTTGAGGGGAGGTAAAGCGTGATTCAAGCAAAATATGATGTTCCTGATACTTGGGGCCAAAGCACGTCCCCAATTGAATTGATGTGAAGGAAGGCAATCAGTGAAAGCTTGGATACATGCGGACTCTTCAGCAGTGACCCCTTTGATGATTTCTGTTCAGGTCAAATGAAAAGCCATGTCAGCCATGCCCTAACCAATAACATTATTCCATAAAGGTATGTTGAAATGAGGTAGAAACCTAAACCTCGCCAATATGGGTAATTGGCAAGCTTATGCCGGTTAGAGCCAGCAGTTAGTGGCCCAAGAAGCAGTACCAAAAGCTTGCCTAATTGTCCCACATGGCGAGGTTTGGACAATCATTTGAAAAAACTGACTTTTTAGATCCACATCTGAGCTAAAGGGGAGATCACTAGTTGACGTGTTGGGCGAGGTACGGGTGTCCCTGTTGGTGTGTTCTTCGGCGCCGTCCTCAACATCGGATGCTGTCACATGTTCCGTACTTTTGTACAATTTGGCCTTGCCTTTGGACTTCCTGATGTGGCTTTCTTTGTAGGAGGGGTTGGCCCTTTGGCGCTTTGGACAAATCTGTCGAGATAGGGAACCTAGGGGGGATGCATTAGGTGGCTGGGGTGCGGGTGCATAAGACATACCACCTTTATATGACTGACCTGCACTGCCACTTGAGTGCCTACACTTCCGTATATTCACCAGGTCAAAGACTGCAATCTCTATCTCCCCCTCACAACCTTGAGATATCAGGATATCTAGCTTCTTCTTCTTGTCTGTTACTGACGCATTGTTTTTCTCAAGATCCTTAAGAAGTTCAGCAAGCTCTTCCACAATCGCATCATCTTCAGGATCTTCTTCTTCAAGAATGGTGTCGACTTGAGCCGTGGTAGAGTCATAGAGCTCCTGCCCTGGTGGAGATGATTTGGTCAATGTTGGGCTACACAGTTTAGCATGGGATGACCCGTGGATGACTCACACCTCCTGACACGCCTACTAGCCTTGGTGATTTCGATTGTGCGGGTGACAGCATGCTGAGTATTGGGGGACTAATGACAAGTCAGCGGGTAGCTACATTAGTTTGCAGTAGATATGGATCTCACATTGTCCGCTACGTTAGATCTCCTGTGTCCAGGCTTGTCATGAGATTCTTCTGCTTCAGAGTCCTTGAAGCCAGTGTGACAAATGAGTTTTCCATATAGACTTATCCAAGACTAAGCTCACCTGTATCACATTCCTGTTGCGACGGGTTAGATCCATCACTTGTGTTCTCTGATATGGGTCCTGAAGGAGTTTAGAAAATTAGTTTTTTTCCATGAATATTTGAGCAATAGCTTACCTCTTCAACAGATTGCTCTGTGTCCTGTGCCTGTGACCTTGATGGGCTCGGAGGGACTTGAGTGACCTGTAGTGCAGTATATCCATCAGGGATATGAGTGGAGAGAAGGTAGGGGTTATATTACATACCCAATCTTTGGTAGTCAGCTGGTGATCTTCTGGGTCCGGAGTAAGGGAAGGTCGTGGCATCTGTGCAGCTAAACATGTCAGTACACGTTGATTACACTACACAACACAAGTGTCTGTACAGACCCTTATGAATCCCAAGGAAGAGGTTCCTGAAACCTGAGGCAACAAAACAATCCGCATCAGCCAGCCTGAATGCAGTATAATCTACACCTTGCCAAATACGCAGAATGGCAGGGTTTTTGACGGTGGTGCACTCACCACTCTGTTGTTGGTATCTGATTCATGTTGTGACTTTGGGAAAGGATGCGTTAGTGGGGACAGTAGTGATGTGCGTAAGTTTTCAACTGTGGGAGAGTCATTAATGTCTTGATTAGACCTACCGCAACCCTGCCTGACAGCTCCTAGAAGTGGAATAAGGACAGGGAAATAAGAATCAGCCAGGGCAATTGATGTGCAAACGGATGAGATGGAGGTACTGTTGAATGAAGGCCTACCAGTTCATCACGTGAAGTTTCCAAAGAGTCTTCGGGGTCAATCATGGGTGGTGTCTATGTGGGTGTCTTGTAATAATGTAAGTGATGATCAACGACCAACCACCTGACAAATTTCAAAAGTTAGAATGTGGAATAACGCTGAACTAACCCAATGCTCAGGTTTCCAACCGGCAAGACTTATACAAATGGAACCAATGGAAAGTTGTGTGTTGAATGATGATAAAGTTGATGGATGTGGTTGGTTGATGGGCAAAAGGAGATCAAATAGTATAAATGAGCCTCCTGGAAGCAGAATCCGGATTGGCCTGCGGAGTGAGTTGGTGCGGGGAGGAAGATTATCTGGAATAATCTAACTTTGGTCGGTCCATTGAGTTGACTCAACATCTAATGAAACCTCTCATCAGGTTAGGTTTTGTCTTGTACAGCTGCATATGTTTCTCATAACCTACTTGTGAGCTATCCTGCCTGTGACAGGCCAGGGTAGTCATCCAACACCCTATCAAAATGAAAAAGCTCGCCGTCTTAGCCTAGGAGGCGAGGATCTGAGTGCAGCGGACATTCCAGAATCCTTTCTGGAGGCAAGGTGTTATTCATGGTCAAAAGCTCGCCATAGTCAGCTGGTAGGCGAGCTTTTGGCAACTGACAGGTACTCCACAACTGAGTGGAGCTTGAGGCACGTCACAAAAAAGATGACTACATTACATCCAGCAGGTAATTCCAGTTGGAACGTAGACTCAAGGGTTCAGCCTTTACAACCAGTCCTTGATGTTAAATACCGCAAATAATCAGTCACATGTGGAACACAAAGTTACCTTTACAACCATTTCTTGAGGTCAGGTTTGCTGAGAAGCAAAAACAATGTGACTACATTGGCCCAAGGACATCCCAAAAACCCATTGCTGCCTTGCCACTGGATGAACTGTTCAGTGGTTGCCTCCTTGGTTGAGATAGTTGTGGGGACCTTCTTGACGTTGAATGTGAGACAGGCGATGACATCCTCAATTTGTTGCTTCTTGTACCTCCAGTGATACCAGACATACCACTGACAAACATCCTGAAGGCCACTATCACATTTTTGGGTAGCCTTGTCGTAACCATTGATGTGAAAGGGTTCAGTTTTGTACTGCTTGGCCAAGCCACACCTGGGGCACATAAACAGATCATGTGTTCCATTTTTCTCCATCACATTTGACAGCAATGATCGCTTGCAAGTATAAATTGTATGTCCACCTGTTGAGCAGGAGGAATCAGATCAGGTGTACTATCCATGTATAAAATGGAATTCCACTCACTCTCAGAGCATCGGCAACAATTCTTGTTGGCCAGTTGTGGGCACCTATGAGGTGGATGCTTTTCTTGTATGTTTTTGGCTAAACACCAACCACACGTCTTCTTGAGGCTTTTGCGTACTTTGCTGATGGCAAGAGCCAAATCCTTCACCCGTGCTTGATGATCCCAAGATTTCTTCACGTTGCTAGAATATTCTACCATGGCACCAGGCAGTGGCTCGCCTGAAGGTGGCTCAGAAGGCAGGTTGTCATGTTCGGAGAAATGTTGTCCATCACAATGAGTGCAAGGGTTGAAGGCGTCAAACGTGTAGCATTTGAGATGCTTTCCATCAAGCAATTTTGCGTACACACCCGGAATGCACAGTGTCTTATCCATTAGTTTGTGTGCAAAACTTCCTTTGGCTGGCTTTGAAGTAGGAAACAACCAGACTGTGGCTGGCGCCTCATCACGTCCAGCGCGCCCTGCCTCCTGAAACGATTTGTTGACTTCATCATCCCTCGGCATTCCAATCAAAAACACATGTCGAACATGCTTGAAGTTTATTCCAGCCCCAAACCCACTCGTAGCAACCATTACACACTTGGGTGTTGAACGCCATAGTGCTGCCTGTTCCTTTTGACTTTCAGATGTGAGCTTTGAGTTGTAGATGGTTACTGGTATACCCTTGTCTTCCAGCCGGGCCATCACCAATTCACATTTTGAGATGTTTTCAATAAATATAATACTTCGATCTCTGTTGACCAGAGAGCTTTCTGTAACGTTCAGAGCTACTTGATCTGTGATGAAGTCCAAGTCTCGAGTTACGGGATGTATGACAAACTGAAGTTCTTTCCGGGCTGTAATTTCACGCTCAGGTACATAATTTTGAATTGAGAAAAGGTTTAGCAGTGTTTGCTCATGATCGGGTTGCAGGGTTGCAGTCATCAGAATAAAAGGTGCATTGAAACATCGAAGTTTGGCTACCCCAGTAGCGTAGGCACGGAAACCAATGTCGTCCAAGTAGCAGTGGGCTTCATCAATAATAAATCGGTTGATTTTGGCCAGTTTTTTGAGCTGATGTCGAAAGGCTGGGGTGGAAGCTGCTTCAGTGGTACAAACAACTACCCTGTTCCAATCATCAATCTCCATTCCAGGCTGATAGACAATGTGATCCACTTTCATACGTTCAAGCTCCAAAGCCGTTTCAGACACAAGAGCACATAGTGGTTGGATGATAACTGTAGTGCCGGAAGTTTCCACTAAAGGAGGTAGAGTGTATGCCAATGATTTACCACCCCCAGTACAAGCTACAATCAAGTAGTCTTCCCGTCTGTCAAATACACCCTTAACCCAGCGTGCTTGAAAAGTTGTCCTAAATTCTGCATCTTCATCTTCTGTATACAACTTCAGAGCCTTTTTGGCCAGTTCTGCCCCGGTCAGCTGATCCTCAAGCACTAGTGGGACAAATTCAGTTGTGCGCACACTATCAATCTGTGTGAGAGAGTCAGCAGGTGTTTCAAAGATTGCAGTTGTGACCAGTTGTGAGAGAAACTTACATTCCAAAATCTATGCATGGCATGACTGACTAACCGGAACTTTGTTTCAGAGTCACAATCAATGTCATAGCCACCACAACCAGCGTAACGCATGTTTGCAGTGTTCCTGCTGTGACCTTGCTGTTTTTCAAACATTGTATTCTCTCCCACAGAATGATCAATCTTGATGTGCGCATCCACAATGGCTACTGATGCTTGACGCCACTCGCGAACCCCAAGTGGTTCCACCCCACCCTCATGGAAGCGCCTTTTGAGGATATTGCTAAAGTCCTCAGTATCCAAAACACCTTTTCTGCTGCTAACCCAAACCCATGTAGCCATCTCCTTTGCACGATCAACAAGGCCTAGCACCTGGAGGAAGAAACTAGAGGATAGAGGATTACTCATGAGCTAGCTGATAGAGTAGGGACATGATGACAGACTTACACTGCAACCGGCCTGATTTGAGAATTCCAATAATGCCAGAGGACACTGTGTGCTTCGGGCAAGAATGTCATCCGGGGTTTGTTTTGACCAGTAATGTTCCTCCCTTTGTGATACATGGTCAAAACAGTGAAAACAGAAGATCACATAAAGAGACTACGTGGTGCCACATTGGTGTTGACCAGCAATGTTCCAGACTCTTCAGTCCCTCAAATGGGTTGACCTGAAGCAACATGATAGAGAAAGTACAATCGTTCCATCAATTTGTCAACCTTTGCTAGCCAAGCCCAGATTGCTGAAGAGTCCCAGAGCTCGGGATTAGTGATTGTAGTCTGGTCATTGAATTTGGACCTCCAGGTGTCATCCATCAAACCATGAACATCCTTTTTGGTAGCCCATTCCTTGAGAAGGTGAAAGTGATATTTTTTGTGAAAAGCTGAGATTGAGTCAGGTAGTTGTAACCAGGTGATGTGTTATTGGGTTTGTCTGAATATAAAGAAAGATCAAAAGGAGGAAGCTTGCAGCCTTTGACAATTTCATGTAGATCAACTTCAGCCATTTTGTCCTGCAATTGAATACAAGAGCGTATTCCAGAGATCGTGACCGTTTTGTTGTTGATTTCTAGAGTTTCTTGGTTGTGATCAGCCCAGAAGGTAGCATCTGGAAGCCCCTCGGACATGTGGACAGTAGTTGCTAGGTGCATGAGCTGACGCATGATATTAAATGGAGCTGAAGGTCCTTTATGAAGAAACTTGAATTTAGTGAAGTCGTCCTTTGAAGGCAACGTTGGATCAGCTTCTGGATTGAAACCTTCCCGCCCAGCTGCTTCAGCGAGAAACTCTTCAGCAAAAGCCAAGCGGACACCATACTGAATGTGAGCAATACGGCGAGTAAAGTTATCCGGAGCATCGTAGGAGCCATCGACTTTGAGCATTGAACGAGCCAAATACTGGCAGGCAGGTAACCAGTACTGACAGTCTGCAGCACTACAATAGACTTGAAAGATGGAGCAGAGAATTCGTGAGACATGTTTTGAGATAGGATCAAAGAGTTCTGGTTGATGCTGCAATGGTTTGTCTTCCGGATCTGGGTCCTCTGGTTGAACAAGGATGGCTGAGGAGACCGCTTTGCTGAGGTTGGCAAGTAAGCCAATATGAACCTTGTAGAGCTGAGTGTTTGGATCAAGTGGGGATTTCGCTTCATTCATCAAGAATTGCATGAAACGGGCAATGGTAGTTGAGTATTTGATGACTGAAGCTTTCTCCTGCAAGGGCATTATACCTTTGTTGTCCTCAAGCTCGCTGGAAGTCAGATATAGTCCAATGTCAGTTTGTTGTTTGATAGGCAGACACGAAACCCTCAATCCCACCTTGTTTCAGCCAAACATTGGTGTTTCAACAGCTGGCCTGTTTTGTGTAGTTTCCTCATGATCTGATTAATCCAATAGGCAATGTAGGGTACCATTGTCTGCACAAACACATCCTCCTCCTCAGGAATCATTAGCTCCACAATTGATTTCCCATCCCGAATATGTCTGTTGATGTAGTCGTGGATTCCAGAGACGTAGAGCCAGTTAGAGAGTTGATTGTCGTCCTGCGGATCGGGGACCAGGTGGGATTGTGACGCGTGTTCTTCCAGTTGTCCCATAAGCTTCTTGATAGCTTCAGAGTAACCCAGAGGCTCAGGTGAAGGAGTCCTTGGCACACTGTTGGGAACTATTACCGGGTAGCGTAAGTAGGGCTTGACCGTGAAAAACTTCTTTCAAATATGACTATAAAGATATTGACACTTGTCATCCTGGACATGATCCAGACGAGTGAGAGTCAAGTCTAACCAACAGAATGTCAGTAGGGTGGGTGGGCAATGAGTGTGGGAAGCACAGACCTCTGTGGTGATAGTAAAAATGGTTGTAGAGAGTTGACTCGGCACGCAAAGCCCTTTGACAAATCAAACAGCTAAAACCATTGTATATTTTCAAGCCCTGGATAGGATCACAGGGCTCCCCCCACACGTATCCAATAGGAAGTTTACCCGGGTTCTCTTTTGATACATATTCTTTTAGGTCCTCCAAGACGTCCTTGGTGTGAACTGTGCCCAAAGGATTGTGTCTTTTGCGATGGCCAGCTACCTCAGACAATGGGACACCTTTGTTGCATTGAGTACAAATTGTGATACAAGCACGAGTATTCCACATCAAATGGTACTTTGCCAGAGCATCATTGACTGAGAGTCAAAGTCAGTTACTGCCCAGTTATGTGGTCAAACACCCAAGACCTACATTCAACCTCTACCCCAGGGGGTACCACTTTTCCAGGAAAATGTTTCTCTTCCACAGCTGGAGCACGTGGGCCGGTCAATTGACAACCCAATACATGTTTCACCAAGTAGGCAGTGTTGTCCGACTCGTAATCACATCCAGAACTGGGACAGCTGAAGAAACCACTATCTCCTCGCTTGAGATCCATCTGTACTCCATGGTAGGTTGTAACTTGAACCACTAATTGATGAGCAACACGGCGATGAAAGTCGGCTTGGCTCTTCTTTTCAAAGGTTAAAGCACATTTGCCACATCCAAACGGCATGACTGTTTCTGTGGCCATGATAAGCAAAGGTAGCTACAATTGTACGCATGACCAGTTCAAACCCATCATAGAGGATGTCAGGGATTCTGAGCTCTGCACAAGTGCTAAGGGGCAAAACCTCGCCAAATTTGTCATAAAAGCGAGGAATTGGTACTCACAGCTGCTGACGTGCACGACCAAGAAGCAAAAGCTTAGCAATATTCTTAAAATGGGCGAGGAAAGGTCAAAGTAGAACTGAGGCTTGAATGTGGTTGTAGGTGGTGGTATTATGACTGCAAACACCAGTGGGTTAGGAACGGAGATATTTCTGTCAAGGTGTAGAGAGCTACTTCCAAACAAACCCCAAAATCAACTTACTTAATCAAATAAAGATATATAGATGGTGAGCTGACCACTTTGGGTACTTGGCAAAAATATGACAATGGTGAACTGCTGAGGGGAGTACAGGAGTGACCAAGAGGTGCAGACGGATAAAAGCTCAGCAGAATCTACCAGGGATAGAACGGGCTACAGCTCAGGCTTTGGGAAGAAACCAATGGTGATATACAGTGCTACGCAGAAACCTAATTAAACCTAGGTTGCTGCGTGCTGAGCTGGGGTGAGAAAGCTGGTGGCATGAATACATGGCAAAAGCTCGCCATCCAGCCTCAAATGGCAAGCTATGTGGCTGCAGGCCAACAAGATAAGTGCATTACTTGCAAATACCTGAGATGACGCCAAGGAATGACACATACCCAATGACGTTAAAATATAACAAGGTTCAAATGAACATGATTTGAAGGATACATAGTAGTGCTACCTCAACTAGTTGGCTTTTGAACTTTCTTACCTTTACCCTTATTCTTGTCCTTCCGGGCCATGGTGGCATCCACCTGTGGCTCCGCATCGACTTTATCTTCAGTCTGAGTCCATATCTTTCTAAATTCTGCGGATTCTGGTGCCAAGCCGGGTAGATTTTTGAGACCATGAAATGCCACGGGAGGAGCCACCGTTCCGTCTGGAGCAAGAGTTTGACCAGGGTTGAAGAGCTCAGACTGAAGATCCAGAGTGTACAAGGAGGAAAGGGTCTTGGCATTGAACCGAGTATTGAACTCTCTAGTCAACCGTGGCCACTTGATATTCTTTTTGAACTCGCCTTCGTCATTGATGAACTCTGAGAGCGTGGTAAACATGTGATGGTCAAGATGATTCCATGCCCGGTCGTAATAAGAATGAGGTCGACGCTCCTTGTTTTTCACTGCGTTAGCATGCCTTTTGGACAAAATAGCGGCAAGGTTGATAGCATAGGAAGCATCATGGAGCATCTGATCTCTATGATTAGTCCAAACGTGAAATAGCCCGGCAGTCCCATACAGAAGAAACATGGCCAGCGCCTGAAGGGCATCCGCTTGAAGATAGCTGGCTTCATATATCGCAGTTCTTTTGATATCTTCACCAGTGACATTGTCGAGAGCTTCTTCCAGTTCTTCAGTTGATAAGTTAGCATTCTTGATTGTTCTTTCCGGATGCTGAAAGACCCAATTGTGAGAAAATTGATTGATACATGAGGCATACTTGAGGTACTTTTTCATTGAGCTTATTTCATCCCGAGTACGCTTCTTTTCAGTAAGAAAAGTTGCCAGCTTAGCATTGTAAACAGTCCTCTCATAAACTAGCATCACACCGGTAAGCACTAATAAGAGTCTACGTTGAAACCACCCAATGCCGTGCTTGTGAACCTTCTTCTGTCCAACGTCCTCCTCCGCTTGACCTCGAATCATGATCTGCTGAAATACCCAACCAACGGTTTTAGACATGGCAACACAATCAGGCGGAATAGCATGTGGCCCAGTAGTCTCAATTATGATGTTGTCATGCTGAGTATTATAAGAGATTAGCTCAATGCTGTCCTGAAGGATTTTACGGAGGGTGGGATACGCTGATTTCAGTTCAATTTGGATAGATGACTCGGTGGACCATTGCAACTTGTTGTCAGTGCGACAGGACATAGCATGCAAAGCCCTAAAAAGCCCATTCCTTTTTGTCCAGGGGTAGCGGGTTGACTCTGAAACCAGCTCCCAGTTGAGGGAATCTCCAGTGAGGTACGGATCTGTGCTGGACAGCTGCATGAGCCTGGGGGCTAAAATGTAAATCCCAGTGGTCAGTGGGTCTAGAAAAATGGGTGGGAGGTATGTTTGTTTTCACCTGTTTTCAAATGTTTTTCCATTTCCTTATCCTCACACAAGTGCTTCATTCTAGCCACAAAGGGCTCCATCTCCTCCGGCAAAGGTTTCCCTTCGTTGGACTTCATTGAATACCCCCAGAAACAAATGCAATCCCTAACACTTCCACTGAGAGCAATACCCCAGTCAAATTGATTGGATGGGAGGGATGAGGTAAAGTCACGAATATATGTAGACTCCAAAGGTGAGATGTTCTTGAGGATCTCTACAGAAGGATGGCAAAAGGTATCAGATCAGCTCTCAAAACCAATGTCTGAATCCAGATGACAAATCCTCGCCATAAACAAAAACAGGGCAAGGTCTTGAGTGATTAGATTATTTAGCTTGAAGTGGACTGAAGGTCAAAAGCTCGCCAACAGTCAACTAACAGCAAGGTTGTTACCGTGTCCAAGGAAGTTAATATGAGGCAGATGGCATATAGGTTCACAAGCATGTCCCAGCAACAGATGAAGTAGGGGGCTGGTATAACAAGGAATGGCAGTGGCATGGAAATAAGAGGGTGTGAACTCACAAAGCAAGTCTACATTGGAGATGTGGTACAAAGAGGACTCATCGATGGGCAATGGGGTGAGGACAGGCGTGCTGGAAGTTGCAGGTCCAGAAGCAGCAGGTGTGGGTTTGGATTGGCTCGTTGACTCCTTCACACCAACATCTTTGTCCTCATCTATTTCGCTACCGCTTTCTTCATTCTGGTCTTCATACAACCCTTTGTCTTTATCTTTTTCTCCTCTCCCAGCTGAATATTCTTCATCAGTATCACTATGCTCTCCTGAACATCTACTAGATGACTTGGTCTTACGCTTTTGCTTGCCCGCACCATCATCTCCACTTCTACTCTCCTCAGCTTCAAGTGAATAAAACTTTTGGCGCTTGTAAAGAAGCTTGGGAGGTTTGTTGTCTGGTCAAAGGCTTCAGTTTGGATCACTTCAGGAAGTGGGTCAGTCAAAAGCTCACCATTTCGGGAACGTTTGCGCTTGGGGCTGTTCCACACAATGATCTCTACAAACTCTTCTTCTCCTTGGCTGATTAACTTATCCAAGTCGCGCTTCTTTGCTTGGACAGACAGATTGTACTGGTGGAGTTTTCTGCTCAACCCTGCCAGTTCCTTCATTATGGCTGTGTCATCAATGTCATTGTTGGTCCGGATTGCGTCCACTCGGGCCTTGGTGGTGTCGTGGAGGTCTTTCCCTATGGAGGGAGTGGTGTTGAGTGTGAGTGACCTTTTTGTTGGTAGGTGTTAGATGAAGACAACTTACAAATCTGGTATGACTCACTGGCTTTCTTGATCTCCACCTTGTGAGTCGCTGTTCTTTGGGTATTATCCTGAATGTGATGTGTCAGCGCCTATACCACAATGACAGTGGGATGCGGGCAACCCTGACCAAATCTTTTCTGTCTCCTGACTCTTTGTACTTGATCCCTTGGAGCTGTTTGGCCTGAGATGGCATTAAATTGGTGGCCAAGGAATCACCTTCCTGAAACCATTGATATGTACATGGTGATTAGGGGAAAGTGATAAATGCTTTGAAAGTGACACTTAGTACTTACTTTGTCCGAATCGTCAGTACTTGGCTCGTCATCCTCATCTTCGGAGGTTGGGAGGGGGCCTTGCCTTATCATCTTTGGGTCAAGCATACGTCCGTCCGAGTCCTGCATATTCAGTTTTACCTGTCAGGCAATGATCTGAACAGATTCACCTATTGGTCATTTGAAGGGATTGCAACTAACTTCTTCATATTCAGAATCAAAATCTTGAGTTTCTCTACGAATTGTGAGGTCAACATCCTGGAGATGCATTTTGTTTACAATCAAACAATTAAAGCCAAGAGGGTATGAAAGAATTGGCCGCACCTCGTCAGGCCCTGTGCTGCTCTCGGACATCCGACGTTGCTTGGTAGCAACGTCATCCTGAAGGGGAATATGATGGTTCTTGAATAAAGTAAAGTGTGTAAAGAAACCCATCCTACTCCTGAACACTTACCACAATGCAGGGGCTGGAGTTTGGTTTCTCCAAGGGTCTGTTTGAGCGCTATGTACAACACCAAAGCAAACCCAACATCAATTGGTGTCTGTCAACAAACCTTGCCATTTTGGCCATGATGGCGAGGATTGGTCCATGCAAGGTGTAACTGAATTCCCCGGGAAATTGGGTCTCTAGACTTTGGGCCATGAACGTTGGAATGAATGATGTGGTGAGACGGTGGTGCTTACTAAGGACCTGAAAGATTCCATTGTGAACACTTTGGGTTTAGGTGGATATGCCAGGAAGATGATTGTGGTGTTTAGGTGGGTATCCCGGAGAGATGCTTGCAGATGTAAGAATTTCAAGGTGTATACAGGAAATTAAGACTAATTTATAAGAAGGGCAATGTCATCATGTTAGGTTTTGCACTTGGGATGATACGGAGATGGTAAACCTAACCCTATGGTCGGCATGTGTTACCTCCTACACTGTTCCCACGTATTCTCTGTTGGGAAAGCCTCTTTTCTGTAGTTTGGTGGGACAAATATAATGAGCATGAGACCCCGTAACACCCTTGCCTTCTGAGGCACCTCTGTGGAGCACTACCGCTTCATTCAGTAACACTGCACATCCTATACACTGAGAAAGCTTTTTCAAGGCCCTCTGCGTGTTTGGTTATGTTGCGCAGCAGCAGGTCACTTGGTTTGCTGTATGCAATCATGGAATATAAAACAACATGCATCCAGAGATCAACATGTCAAGACAGATTTCTAATTTGTGACAATGTTTTTATCCTGAGGAAGCCCCTGTATGACTCCGCCAAGGGTGTACATACAATGTTATCCAGATATCTTCTCACAAATCATTACCAAAATGAGTCAAAAGGCACAATGGGACGATGTTTTTGAAAACAACTGCACAAAGCAGTGAGCAGTGTAGGTGGACCAACTATTTGACAGCTGACCTTTGTATATGTCTGCATTGACAGCTCTTTAAATCATTTACAACTTCATTACAAGAAAGTTGTTTACCTTCCAATTGTTGTAGTCACGTGGTTGTACACAACTGCAGCACATATGTCACGTGCATGGCAGTATAAATACTTGTAGTTTCTCTTCCATTGTTCCACATCCATGTGGAACCTTTGTACTTTTCACAGATCACTTACTGCTTGTCTTGCTCACAATAGGTTATGAGCCTGCGCTAGCAGAAGAAAGAGAAAGACGATGAATGGAAACTAGGAATAGGAACTACCAAGAAACTCCAAGATCCCCAGCTAAACACCAAAGAAAACAAAAGAAGAAAGCAGCTCTCATTGCGGAGACACAAACTTTGATTTTAGATTATCATTCGTCGACAGAATGGTCAATCTAGCCCAGATGACAAATTTCAAACACTTAAGCAAAGATGGTTCGAACATGGTTCCATGGCAAGAGGACTTTTCACAGACCACTTACTGCTTGTCTTTCTCACAATACCAATGTTTGACTAGGGACATAATCAAGTGAGGGACGAAAGCTGGTTAAAGTTAGTTGCAAGTTTAAAACGTGCTGAATTCAAAAAAAGGTTGAATTATATCACAATGTCTCAATACTCAATGGAGCAGAACACTTACATCTACAATTTTGATAACATGTGCAAACAATTTGAAAACCAAATGTCTTGGTAAATTACAGCACCTCACACTTTGCTGAACCCTCAACCGTAGAGCATGTATGTGTAGATTGCATTAAAATTTGTAGATTGCATTAAAATTCCATTGCAACCAATGGCTTCACTGTTCTCAAGGTCTGATGTGATAGATACACGTTCATGCAATTGTGGAAGCCAGCAACTCAGGTCCCTATAAGTTGGGAGTTTTGAAATTAGTCAAGATATTCTGTTCTTGACTAATTATTCCCACTTTGGTTCCAAAATGAGACATCAGTTGTCTGGGAGATGATCAACGGGAGAGAAGGGTGGTGTAAGGGTTACATAGCAGTTGTCAGTATTGGATTAGACAATAGTAGTCCAGCGCACCTAGCTCCACAAAGAACCCATTCTTCACCAAATACCTGCAGGTAGAGCTAGGTGAGAATATCATTTCGGTTTATAAATTGTTCTCTTCAAACCCCAGATGAACATGGTAGGAACAATCCAGACCATGCCGAAAGCAGTTGCACACAGCTCCTAATTGAGAATGCCAATGAGTCAAAAGTTGCAGATAAATCAATATCAAGGTGATAAGTAATCATCACTCTTGGGGCCTTTGTCAATCAACCTGATGTTATAGCTGCTGTGAAACAAGGTCATGTAAGTCAATCAAAATCAAATCACCTGATCAATACACTAAAATGTGTGATTCACCATTCACAGTGTCCACTTCAATGATAATGACCCATAACCCAAAACATTGGAGAGGTTGGGCATTTTTAAATTTCCAACAAACTTGCCAATAATATTGTGACTTCCGCTGGAGGTTTAGTTTGATCTGTTATCTCTGGATGTAATAAATTCATCATCCCATATGCAACTTTGATGGTTGAGATGAACCGCATCCCAGGGCGTGGGGTCCGCCAACCCTCTCAAAGACATACAACCACTCACAAGCTCACCACTTCCCAAATCCAACCCATGTCTGTGTTCCTTCTGCGTGTTTGGGGCACCAATTTAACTGGGCCTACATTGAGGCGTCTTCATCTCCACCAGTATCTATGCGTGTCATCCCTCAACACTGTTTCTCTCTTTGCACATTCAGCTCACCCTGTGATTGCTTGGCCCCGGTAGAGCAAGACTTTGATTCAACCAACCCCAATGGTTTTAAATTCACTATTTCTGTTACTGGACAACTTCAATCACCCTTCTCTTCTTCATTTCCATTGTACTTAGTAACATTGTAGAATACAGCAAAAAGAACTACAAAAAAGCTCTCAACCAGGGGTTTCAACAATCCACAATCAATGAGCAAGGTTTTGGTTATCTATGACAACAGCCAGAGACTGTTCTTGTTGCAAGTTTTTCCAAAACGTTGTAATCAAGATCAATACAAGATAACCCTAGGTCATGCCTGTGATTATAACCAGCACCTATAGAACTAGGTGCTGGTAGCCAGTTGACACTTCACTTCCTGACGTTTGAACAGAGCCCCACCTTGAATGTCGTGATTTTCACAAAAGCCTACTCAGTATTCCTTCACCTCAGTACTTCCAGTCCCTCCAACCGCGTACCTAAACCCATACAGCTACAGCCCAAAAGTATTTGTTTCATGGGTGTGTGAATTATAACTCATATATTTTGGTTTGGCAGGCAAAGTATGGTTCAAGAGGGAATAGTTCAATCAACAAGGCAATTGAAAAAAGTCATTTCTTCATATCCAAATGGGAATGGGTTGCAACAAAGTGCCACACGTTCTCAGATGATTGAAACCATTATTGCAATCTTTCCGTGTGTACTTTAATTCCAAAAGCATAAGGTCAAGTCTTTTCATCTCATTGTTGAATGGAATGGCAGTCTTAGCTAGGGTTAGGTTATGCTATGATTTTGCTCAACCTTGCTCAACACAACTGTTTCACCTATCAATTTCCAGCAGTGTCCATAAGCCTTGTATTTGTATGTATCTCCCTCTGAAACTTGATGAAAGTTCTGCCTTGACTCTCAAAGTTGGAAGAGATGTTGAAAGTTGTACCTATCTTGAATTCAATTCCAAATATTAACTCAAATATGAATGACCCACAATAGTAGCAATATTATCACTGCACAGGACCTGTTTTGAATTTGGAGTAACCTTTATCAGTCATCTGAACAAGTATGGATCTGGATATTTGCAGTTTTTTGTGACTCTTGATTGAAACAATATTGATATAGTTAACAAACTGATATCCGGACTTGTCCAAGCTACCCAACTTATGCTTATCTTGATTAACTATCTTGATTCATGCGTGGACTTGTTGGCTTTTGCTCAAGATGAATCATTACCAGTTTCAGGGAACTATGAACATGTTTTGCAGATCACCATGTATTCCAATCCTTCTGAAAAGATGGGAGTGGTACTTTCTTTTCAGTGACCCTCGCACTTTCCTTGTTGCTGGGTGATTTGCTGTGGTGTACACATGTGGACCCAGCCTTTTCCCGAGTACTGAATATCAGGAACACCTAGGCAGGTTGGTGTCCCAACTAACTAGGTTCCCAAAATGGCATAATTTGAAAATGATTAAATAAGAATTTTTCCAACCCTCATCTCATATACACCATTATCATGCGGAAAATTATTAAATACCCATTACCTTGTTATAGGATTGGTCCAAAAAGACATCACCTTGTCTCATTCACCTCATCGCTTTCAGTTTCCAGGGGGTTTTTTATTCTCAATGTTTTTGAAAGAATACTATCCAAGCACGACGCTGAGTCTCCATCTGAGCCAAACCCTTGCACAACAAGGGCATGGGTAACATTGACCCTCTTTAAAGTGTCCTTTGACAAAAGGCTTGTCCAATGCTGAGCAAAACCCCCGGACTGGTCAACAAAGTACATGAGGCTCAAGTCACACTCTTATTTTTGGCAACTCTTATGTTTGGCAAAGGGAAAAAAGCTCGCCAAGGTGGGGGTTTTGGCAAGGATTTATTTCTTCTCATGAGTAACAGACAGCTTTCATAGCTATAACATTTTTGTTTCAGGCATTCAAGAAAAACAAATATAAGAAAGAAATTCAACTTGTCAAGTTGGAAGCTCTACTAGGCTTTAGCCTTGCCTTTGCCTTTCCTGTGACTTGCCTTTTCCCTTTTTTCAGACCATTCATCATCATCAGCTTCTCCAGTACTTACCGTGAGGATATCATGTACATCCTTGGTTTTGAAAGACAAGACCGGTAATTTATTTTTGCCTTCAAAGAATACGTGCGGAGCCTCTAAGCCTCCAGGAGTCCGACTCTGAGCAGGGGTGTAGACCTCAAAGGTAAGGTCCAGGATGAAGAGAGGAGACAACACATAGGTATCAAAATCTTGAGAAAACATCACCGTCATACCAGGCCAATCAAGATCCTTTCGAAAGATGCCTTTGTCGCTGACAAATTGTGAAAGCAAGGTCATCATATGATTGTCCAAGTGGCTCCATGGGTGTCCGTAAAAGAGCTCTTTGTTCTTGTTCTCAGTGTTATGATATCATGTGGCCAAGACTGAGGTGAAGTTGATTAGGTAGGAGGAATCATGTAACAAAAGTTCCCTACGAGCTGGCCAAACGTGGAATAGGCCAGAGGTGCCATAGAGCAGGAAGAGACTTAGAGCTCTGAGGGCCTCACTTCGAAGTTCGCTTGCATCACGGACTGCTTTGACTCTCATGTCGTCCTGAGTAACCTTCACCATCGCATCGTTCTTATCATTTGATGGTTTGATAGCTCTTTCAGGATGAAGAGTGACCCAGTTGTGAGATAATTGATTGAGGCATGTTGCATCTTTGAGCTGCTTCTTCATGTTTTTGATTTCCGTTTTTGTCCTTTTCTTTTCTAGTAGGTATTGATCAAACTTTTGATTGTACATATCTCTTTTGTATATAAGCATTACCCCAATCAAAACTATCAAGTAGCGCCACTGAAGCCATTCCATTCCATGTTTATAAAATTTCTTGACTTCATGACCTTCATCTCCCTGTCCATTTCCACGAACCATGATTTGCTGGTAAACCCAGCCTATTCCCTTTGATAGATCAACCATGTCCAAAGGAACCGCATGCTCACCACTGGTTTTTATCTTGACGTTGACATGCGGAGTGTTGTAAGAGAGGTTTCGGATGCAATCAAGGGCAATTTGGTTGATGGTTAAATACGCTGTCTTCAATCGAGATTGAATTCCAGGTTCAGAAGTCCACTGGAGCTTGTCATCCGTCCTACAGGCCATGGCATGGAGAGCCTTGAAGAATCCGTTCCGCTCCTTCCAAGGTACGTGTGTTGACTCCTCAACAAGTTCCGAATGGATAGAGTCCACTGTGAAGAATTGATTGTGGATAGCAAGTTGCAAGAGCCTAGGAGCTGAGAAGGCCAATTGAATCAATAAATAGTGTCAGTCAAAAGTAAAAGGTAATCCACGTACCTGTTTTGAGTAAGTTGATCATTTCATGATGGTTGCAAATGCGCGTCAAACGGGCAATATCGGCGCCCATTGATCCATCATCTCCAATAACTCGCGCTGGTGGCATAGCGTGAGCCCAGCAGAACAGGATGTTACAGACGCTGGAACCTAAAGCTTTACCCCAGTCAAATTGATGCGAGGTGAGGAATTTGGCAAAAGTGGTGATGTATTTAGACTCATCGGGGGTCACATCTTTGATGATTTCTGTAAGACAAATCAAAGATTTCAGTCAGCTTTTGCGGGGTGAACTGCTTGCCAAGGATTAAGTGATGACCAGTGTGAGTGGGAAAGGAAAGCAAAAGCTCGCCAAGTGATTGGTTTTGGCGAGGTTTGGAAGAAACATGGGTATACAAATGCCCATAGGGATGGATCCCAGATGAACCTTTAGTTCTACGAAGAATCTTAGGTCCCCAATGCCCAAAGGATAGAACCTTCAGTTCTATGAAGGCAAGATGGCAGAAGCTCGCCACAATTCGCAAGTTGGCGAGGTTTTGGTCCATCTGAAGCAGACAAAGCTGATGAGGACTTACCCTTCAAGTCAATATTAGGAGTCGTGAACAGAGAGTCAGATGGCGGCGCAGGGGATGATTCAGTGCGTTGAGACTGTTTCGAGGCTGATTGGGTGTCCTCGTCCAATGTGGATGCGGCTTTTTTTTCGGTACGCTTGAGTCCTTTGGTTTGTCTGCGTGATTGAATTGCAGGAGGTGCTGCTTCTTCTTCCCTTGTGTTCCGGAACACTTTCTGTCGCTTGCGGAGGACCCGCGGAGAGTGTGAAGCTGAAATGGAAACTCAGTCACCGTTTGATTCGAGGTATCAAGTGGAAGGAGAACTTACTAGTACTCTGTGAGGAATGATGGCGCTTTCGAAAAATAGCAGGATCATAGACTACAATCTCGACTTCACCTTCACATCCTTGAGATATCAATTCATCGAGATGTAACTTCTTATCTTTGACTGATTGGTTGTACCGGTCGAGATCCTTGCTGAGATTGGCCAGTTCCTCCATGATAGCATCATCGTCAGGGTCCGCCGCAGCCCTCATAGCTTGCACTCGAGCTTGGGTGGTGTCATACATATCTTTCCCTGTCCAGTAAGAGAAAGAAGCTATCAGTATCCCATCTATACGTAGATGGGTGCAAGACTTACACAAGTTATAGCGTTCACTTGCTTTCTTGATCTCAACCTTGCGAGTGGTGGTCCTGTTTGTATCAGATGGCTAAAGAGCAGGCTTCAGATTGAAGCGGTTACGTGCTAAAGGAAGAAAACAAACTAACCTCTTGATCATCTTCTTCCGTTTGATGTGCTTGTGCCTGTGAATGTGAATGTTAGGTTGGGATGATGACATTGATCATGGGAAAAGTGCAAACCTTTCTTTGAGGTTGTGCTACGTCTGAATCCGAATCGTAAAAATATCAAGGTGGGTTGAGTATAGTAGAAATGATGAGTTATCTACTGATGTATTCTGTTTACTTACATCAATGGTGATTTGTTTGCGCTTGGCACGCTTTTGGAGAAGGGCATCTGATTCCTCCTCATCATCGTCATCCTGAAAAGATTACAATGTCAGGCAGTCGAGAGGATTTCTAGGATATGACAGATGCTCACCCCCGCTAATACATCCTGCCTATGAGCTGTAGTCTACTCAATGGAGGTTGCAATGATTGATAAAGAAACAAGCAAGGACACAACCTTGCTTGTGTTTTACAATCGTAGGTGACTTGGTAGGGGTAACACGCAATCTTTGGGACAGTACCCACACGCAGAGCGGTGGGAGGAGACTTGAAGGATAACACATCATTGACCACCACTGCTCCATGTAAAATGTAGGTAAATGATGTTTATTTCAACTTTTCCAAAACCAGAAAGAAAAATAACGGGGGTGATGGATTCTCAAAACTGCTGTATCCCATCATCCCCTTTTTTCCAGCTGGAAACATGCCATCTGGTTTTTTGTTTTTTGTTTGACCTAACCAATTCATATATTGTACATATTCCGTAACAGTTGTAGTCAACTTGTTCAAAGGTGAAAAGATACTTGGAGATCAACAATTGTGCTGCTTTTTCACACAATTGTTGCATCCATAATGCAAAACTTGATTTGCAATCTAAATTTCATCACCTCATTGACCACGGCTGCTTTGTGTATATTATCTGTAAACTTTTAGTGCAACCCAAAATCTTTGTTTCTCAGGGCAGCTGAATAAGTTGCACCAATCAGGCAGGTGGCGGTAACTGATCTAATGTGGTGGTATTTGATGTATTCAATATTGGGGGTTTGTCATCTTTTCTTTATTCTGGGTCTACACCTTTCAGAATGACAAGCATTTTGCCACAAACACTTACACCAATGGAGGATTCAAATTTTTTTTGAATAAGTAGGAAGGAATGTTGCACTAGATGAGGACAAAAGTATCAAAGTTTTTCTGCTATATAAAGTACTTGCTTGGAGAGTATACTATACTTTAACATCAGCATTCACAAGATCAAGTCATAGGCTAATCCGCACAGAAACCACTACAAAATATGTCTAGACTGGCTTACTGCCCAGTCTCCAATGTACTGCAGACTTGGGTGGCAAATCCTGTAACCCAGGGTGGGAGTATGAAACTCAGGACTGAACATCTAAACCTCATCAAACTTCCAGAGGACCTCTTATGTCATGTCTTATTGTACACAGAGAGAGTACACAAGGTTGGAGTGGTGTGAATTCCGTGTAAAGCATGGGATAAGTGGTATCAGGTGTTGCAGAGTCAACAACAGTCAAGTGCTGCCTGAAACCTGACCATAAACAGCTATCTCTTGAACACGGTTGCTCTAGCTAAACATCCCCATGATTGTGGCTCAGGAAAACATACCTGGGGATTATCACTTGTTAAAATCAGGCAGTGAGTCATTCACATGGGGACATGTGCATTTGGTACTCTTATAATTACGTGAAGGGTAAGAAACCTCGCCAATGAGGCTGAATTGGCAAGGTTCCTCCAGAATCAAAGATCTGCACATAAGTTTTCACATTACAAATTTGATAGACAAATAAGTTACAAAATCATGGTGGATCAATGTTTTGAAGTGGAAGCTCTGCTAGAGGCCACATTTGATTTAGCCTTAGCTTTACCTTTAATCCTTGCCTTTTCCCTCTTCTCAGACCAATCATCATCATCATTATCTCCTGTACTTATGGTGAGGATATCATGTAAATCGTTGGTTTTGAAGGACAGGAGAGGTAAACTGTTCTTCCCTTCAAACAAGACATGAGGAGCTTCCAAACCTCCAGGAGTGCGGCTGTGACCAGGTGTGTAGAGCTCGTTGGTAAGGTCCAGTATGAAAAGGGGAGATAAGACGTAGGTATCAAAATCTTGAGAGAACATGACAGTCATTCCAGGCCAGTCAAGATTCTTTCGAAAGGCTCCATCATTGCTGACAAATTGTGACAGCAAAGTCATCATATGATTATCTAAACAGCTCCAAGCACGATCATAGTACACCTGTTTGTCCTTGATTGCACCTTTGTGAAATCGAGTTGCTAGAATGGAGGTGAAGTTGATAAGGTAAGATGAATCGTGGAGTAATAGCTCCCGGAGAGCTGGCCATACGTGGAAAAGACCCGCGGTGCCGTAGAGCAGGAAGAGACTTAGAGCTCTGAGGGCCTCACTTCGAAGTTCACTAGCATCACGAACCGCTTTGATCCTCATGTCGTCGTTGGAAACTTTAGCTGCAGCGTTGTTGGAGCCATCGATAGCTTTCTGTGATGGTTTGATGGCTCTGTCCGGGTGGAGCTGGACCCAGTTACTGCTAAGTTGATTGAGGCATGAGGCATCTTTAAGTATCTTTTTCATGTTTCTGACTTCAGCTTGAGTCCTTCTCTTAGCTTTCTTGTAATCTTCAAACTTTTGATTGTAAACATGACCTTCATAAACAAGCATAAGACCAATCAATACCAATAAGTACCGCCTCTGAAGCCATTCCATACCATTCTTGTTCACTTTCCTAATTTCATCACCATCCTCTCCATCCCCACGGACCATGATTTGTTGATAAACCCCACCTATCCCCTTTGCAATGTCCACCATGTCTAAAGGCACCGCATGTTCTCCGGTAGTTTTGATCTTGATGTCAATATGAGGAGTGTTATGAGACAGGTTCCTAATGGAGTCTAGTAGAATCTGATGAATGATAGAATAAGACCTTTTCAACCTTGATTGAATACCGGATTCAGAGGTCCATTGGAGTTTGTTGTCCGTCCTGCAGGCCATCGCATGAAGTGCCTTGAATAACCCATTCCTGTCTTTCCAAGTTACCTGGATTGACTGCTCAAGAAGCTCCCAATTGATGGATTCTGCCTTGAAGAATTGATCGGTGGTTGACATCTGCATAATGCGCGGAGCTGGGAACAAAAACTCATGGGGATGTCAGTCAATCATGGCAAGGACAAGGACAAGATTGAAATACATACCAGTCTTGAGGAAGTTGATCATGTCTTGATGTGTACAAATCCGGATCAAGCGTTTGATGTCTGCTCCTATTGAATTATCATCACCAATGTCCCGTGGGGGAGGCATAGCGTGGGTCCAGCAAAAGATGATATTGGCAACGCTTGGCCCCAAGGCTTGTCCCCAGTTGAATTGGTTTGAAGGTAGGAGCTCAATGAAGGATCTGATGTAACGGGCCTCATCAGGAGTTACATCCTTAATGATTTCTAAAATATCATCTTGTCAGCTTGTGTGGTTCATATCCAAAAGGATCATAATGTGACAAGATATTGTATGAACTCAGGGAAGGAATTACTCAAGCTCGCCGAGTGAGTGCTCTTGGCGAGCTTTTGATCAGGAAAGAAGGAAGGGGTGATGTGTTTTATTTGAACCTTCAGTTCTCAAAGCTTGCCATTAAGCGGAAACAGGCGAGGTTTTGTTGGAATGTTGGCATCAGGTGATAGACTTGCCGTTGGGATGAAGATGGCGGGATGGTAGTATTTTGGCTGAGCAGACCCAAAGTTATAATGAGAGGGGGCTTACTTGTCAAGTCAATGTCTCCGCAGGTGAACAGGGATTGTGATGGGGCGTCAGGGGGGTTTTCAGTTGGTTCTTCTAATTCTAGATCAGAGGCAGTCACGTCTTGAGTACTCTTGACCTCTCGTTGACTTCGCCTTCTGGGTGTGTTGATAACGCCAGTTTGATTTCGATGCTTAGGGTTCATCCTCTGTCGCTTGCGGAGCACTCCAGGGGAGTGTGGTGCTGGGATTAACAGTGTTAGCCTCTTGGTAAATGCCAGGTTGAGCAGGGGTACTTACTGCTTCTAGAGGTGGAATCCCGATGCTTGCGATTATTGGCAGGATCATAGACTACAACCTCAACTTCACCTTGACATCCTTGAGAAATTAATTTGTCAAGGTGTAACTTCTTCTCCTTGACCGATTTGTTGTACTTGTCAAGATCCTTGCTGAGATTGGCCAGCTCCTCCATGATAGCGTCATCGTCAGGGTCTGTGGCAGCCCTCAGAGCTTCGACTCGAGCCTTGGTTGAATCATACATATCTTTCCCTGACGGACAAAAAAGATATCAGTTTCATTACTATACTCAGATGAGCACCAGACTTACACAAGATATATCGTGCATTTGCTTTCTTAATCTCGACCTTACGGGTAGCAGTTCTGTGCGTATCAGATGGCTAAAACCAGAGATCAGCTATTGAATGAAAGATGAGCTCAGAAATGACACATTTACATCTTCCTCCTCTGGGTCGGTTTGGTTTGCTGGCTTACTATTGCTTTGGTGCGGCTGTGGAGTTGTAAACAGGTATTTAGCTACTAATGACAAAGTGGGTGACTCAGGAATGGACCAAACCTGGGTGTTGTTAGTGAGCTCCAAGTCGGAAGACTGTGTAGATCAAACATCAGTTCTTGTGGAGTTGTGCTTGTTGAGTTGAAGACTTACATAAGTGACCAATTGCTTGCGCTTCTTGGTGCGTGTGACTTCTATATGATCCTGGGGTGAATGCATGATCAGCTGATGGGTTGTCTGTGATTGAATGCAGTGTGATGGACTCACGGATAGGTGACCTTGGTTGTTTTGGGATGAGGCAGGATGGTAATCGTCGTCTGGGTCAGGAGTTGCGCGAGAAATGGGTTCCTGTGTGGAAACAAAAGATTAGTGTAAGTAAAATGGAACAGGCAAATCTTGCTTACCCTGATGGAGCCCATGATTGGAAGGGGCGCTTGGGCCTGTGGGGTACCCGCAGGGAGATGTATCAGTAGGTAAATTTCATCACCAGAGCTTGCCAAAATCAGGAAAATAGCGAGGAAATGATGAATAAAGAGGAAAAGTTGAGCTTGCCAGAGTCATTTTGATGTGTTACGTTTTGTCAGGTGTTCTGGAAGGGGTTTTGAAGTGAGGAGAGGTTGATTGAACAATTGAGGACAACTTTTGTTGACCGGGTGGGTGAAATCACAAAACATTCCATCACCATCATCAGGTTAGGTTTTGATGCGTGAGCGCAGTGAAATTGTCAGGTGTCACTTGTGTGACAGGTACAGGTATTGCAAGTGACAGCTGTGTGGTTCAGTATATCACACTTTACATGTTGAAAGCATCATGATACCACATACATATTGATTCAAAACCTTGACTTTGATCCTCCAAAGTAAGTGTAATAAACCATACCTGTCAGCTTGCCATTGGTACGGCGTACAAAGTCTTCCAAGTCATCTCAAGTTTTATTTGTCTGTGGGAATACCACAAGGTATGTGGGTGGAGATTGAAAAGAAAACAGCCTTGAATTGAAAAGGCTCGCCAAGCTGAGATTTTTGGCGAGCTCTTGGTATTCTTGCTTTTAACCCACGTAATAGTAGGAGAAATCATGGAGATGTGTGGCCATCCACACTGTGTAAAAAGGCCGCAGTTCTGGTCAGTCTGGCGACCTTTTTACAAAGCATATCATTTGAACCCACGTAATAGTAGGAGGAATCATGGAGCATTATGGCCATCCGCGCTGTGTAAAAAGGTCGCACTTCTGGTCAGTCTGGCGACCTTTTTACAAAGCGTATCATGTTTAACCCACGTAATAGTAGGAGGACTCATGGAGCATTATGGCCATCCGCGCTGTGTAAAAAGGTTGCACTTCTGGTCAGTCTGGCGACCTTTTTACAAAGCATACCATTTTAACCCACATAATAGTAGGAGAAATCATGGAGTGTTATGGCCATCCACGCTGTGTAAAAAGGTCGCACTTCTGGTCAGTCTGGCGACCTTTTTACAAAGCGTATCATTATTGTAGCCCTGAGGGAACATGGAGGCAGACCTCCATGATATGTCACGGGAAGGGTAGTACTGGGAATACCAAAGGTATGTGAATGGAGATTGAAAATAATGCATAGGCTGGAATTGGCAAAGCTCGCCAAGGTGAGCTTTTTGGCGAGCTTTGGGTAGTCTAGTTGTTGACCTACATAATAAAAGAAGGAATCATGTGGGTTTGTGGCCATCCACGCTTTGTAAAAAGGTCGCACTCCTGGTCAGTCTGGTGACCTTTTTACAAAGCGTATCATTATTATAGGCCTAGTGGAACATGGAGGCCAAATGATACGCTCCCAGCCAAGAAGCGTATCAAGCGTATCAATACTCTGGACGGCGGGGCCTGGTCCGGTAGCTAGGGTTACACCCTAACCTAACCTAAATCCTTCTACGGGTTCCTCGTTCTACGGGTTACACGTTCTACGGTTTACACGTCATACGGTTTACACGTTCTACGGGTTACACATTCTACGGGTTACACGTTCTATGGGTTACACGTCATACGGTTTACACGTCATAAGGGTTACACTTCATACGGGTTACACGTCATACAGTTTACACGTCATAAGGGTTACACTTCATACGGGTTACACGGTCTCCAATGACATTTACTACGCTGACAAGTCCTTTAGCTAGAATTGACATACGACTGACTTGTCCTACTGCTTGATACCACTTTGTTACATTGGTTGCATTTATGTTGGTGGTGACCACATTAAATTTTCATGGTTGCACTAAACACATTGAAAGCCATAATCTCTTTGGGAGGTAGTGTAGAAGGGTGCCTTGATTGTTCATCCTGTTACTTCCGACCAGATGAAGAAGGCTTTCTTGACCAAGCCAATTGGGCACCCCCAATTATATTAGGATAGGTTACACGGCCTACGGGTGACATGTCTTACCCTGACATGTCCCTTGGGTGAGTTGTCCTGGTGTTTGATTCCACTTTGTTACATTTCTCGCATTGTTTTTAGTAGTGACCACCTTACTTCCATGGCCAAATCAATTTTTCATGCTTGCACTAAAAACAATAAAATCCATAGTGTATTAGGTAGTTAGTGTGAATGGGTCCCTTGATTTTTCGGCCATCACTTCCACCCAAGTGATGGCCGCTATCTTGACCAAGCCACTTGGGTGACCACAATTTTATCATTTATGGCTGCAGTTGGGTTTCAAAGATGTAGGACCATCCTTCACCCCTTGAGGGGCGTGAAGGACTTCAGGTAATATGTCAGATCCCAATGTAATTTATTACAGAAAGTTTGTCAAAGAAGAATTAGTCATCAACCAATGAAATCATTACTCCATGAGCATAGTAGGAACAGTTGAGAACATGAATGTGTAATGAATATGCAATGTTTTGAAATGTGTGTTAAGATTTATATCTTTTCCCAATAAGTCACATGTGAGTTGAGGTAGTTTATGTTTTTCATTTATTTTGTTGTGACTTAACCCCTGGTGCCTGAAATTCATATTGAATGTATGTGCCATGTGTTATTTATCTCTCTTGTTTTTTATGTTTCACAACCAATCATCTTTTATCTAACATTTCCTCGTGATAGTAAGAAATATTACTATCCATTTTTGTGGGTGATCTTATTATTGTGATCACTACTCCTTTTGCCCAGCTTTGTGTTTGGATCACCTTTATTGTATACTTTTTCTTTTCACCTATTATTGTGCTTTGTCAGGTTTGTATCTTCCGTAGCCCATTGAAGGTGGCCAGCGTAATTGCTATTTCAAATATAAGCCCTTATTCCACCCAGGGCCTACTATATTTGGCAAAGCCACGAAATCAAAGTGCTAATTGAATCAGCTTTCTTCATGCATTTGTTTTTGCGCTTATCCATTGGAGTGGTGGTGACAAGCTGGTGTTGATTGATAACTTGGATGGATAGTGGTAGTGAAGGGGCCACAAAGCAATGTACAAACATTTTTCAAAATAAATCACATATCACATACATCACTCACTACACATCAGATGCAAAAGTTGATTTTACGTACAACCCCCCAAGCATAAACATTACATCTATTTTCAATATGGTGTGAGGATATTCAAATATGTTGGAATTTTCTCTTTATCTCAATATATGAAAAGATAAAAAAGACATGTTTGACACAATCATATAATATCATTGTAATAGATACAGTCAGAACCAAGAATATATTAATACCTGAAGCCAAAACAGAAACAATCATAGTATAAGAAAGATAAAAAGAAATGTTGGACCGAATCTAATAATAACATTGTAATGGATACAGTCAGATGACAAATAAAAAGAAAGAAAAAGAATCAAAAGACTATAACAACTTCACGTTATAGACCCAAACAGAAACAAAAATGCAGAAGAATTGATGTCGTAGTATGAATTAGGGTACTCAATATAAGTATGCACATGTACAAACTTTTGTGTGCATCCCATTTATTGGAAAACAATTGTCCATTTGGCCATGGTCTCCCCACCCAGAAACATTATGTCATCATTCTACATTGAGTACCCTTAATGTGCAATGATGACATGTGGTAGCAATGAAGAAATGCAATAAAGAAAATTGTATATGACATTTAATAGCAGACAAATGATATCTCCAACAATATATAAAAACCTAGAATCGAACAAATCAAACTAATAACCAATGGTGTAGTTGTCTTTTGGTACTATTGTTTACTACCACCAGGCGTTGCAAGATACTATAGAATTTCTAACCCTAACACAGAGCATGCTGTGATGGGGAAGCAATGTGACAAAGATACAAATTGGGGAACCATTTATGTGGGGTGGTTTCAGGCCTTAAGGATAGGGATAGTCCAATATAGCCAGCAATAGAAATATAGTATGATATGTGTATAATACCTTGTCACCTCTGGGATTCATGTTCTGGAAGACAAAATCAGCTACTCAGCTACCCAGCTACTCAGCCAAACATCTAGCTATTTGACATGTCAACTCACTGATGGGCTACCATGTCACCACACCACGCTTGGGTCAAGCCCAATTGTGCCCAGGTGGACAAGCAGTTTTTTTAACCAGACTATATGTGGTATTGCTATATACCTACCAGCTAGAACATGTGCGGGGAGGGTGCCAAAAAGCATTCATTTCATCAATATCCACTGTCAAGTACAACATAAATTAAGGATCCTCAAGTTTAAATGACCTGCGCAAATTTGCCAGATATCCCCCAGGTGATAGTCAGAACACGGTTCATTGTGAAGTTGGAGGTGTTCCTGGTCACGCAGGATGGGGAACACAGAAATGACCTGTCACATGTTCCAAATTCCGCCAATGGCGAAAATCAGAACGCAGCTGCCACACACCATTGACACGTTCCAAATTCCGCCAATGGCGAAATTTGGAACGCAGCAGCAACACACCATTGACATGTTCCAAATTCCGCCAATGGCAAAATTTAGAACGCAGCAGCAACACACCATTGACACGTTCAAAATTCCGCAAATGGCAAAATTTGGAACGCAGTGGCAACACACCATTGACATGTTCCCAATTCCACCAATGGCAAAATTTGAAACACACTGAGAATCCATCTGAACTGTCAGGATGGTCGTGTGGTAGATGTAACTATTACCATTATGATATCCAGCCAGGATCAATCTGCGGGGACATGATGATTTGACAAAATTGGAGACACAATGTAACAGCCAGGTGTGACGGGCTTTAAACCACAAGTGTACCTCCATCAGTGGCAAAGGAGACCAAGGTCAGGTAGCTATAGTAAATAGTGATATTTTCAATGGACCAGTAGATGAGAAGAAAACAATATTCAGGGGGAGAAGCATGTGTATGATGATTACGAGTGGACTTTGGCAATCTCGCGGATCTCTGGGTCACGAAAGACAATGAACAAGGTGACCATATTTGCCCACGGACATCCAAGCCACCCACGTGATCCGAGCCATTGCTGGAACAGCGAAACACTGGCTTTGTCAACTGCTAGACACTTGTCATTGGTCTTGAGGACCTTGATGATGCTCACCAGCAATGCCTTATCATGATGAAACAAGTACCAGCAATACCTTTCACACACATTTTGAAGACCACTGTCACACTTCTTGAGGGTCCCCACTATTGGTGCATTATGAAAGGTGTCCTGACCATGGCCATCACCAAGACCACAAAAGTGACACAGTCGGTAGGCTGCATTGCCATTCCTCTCAAGGACCTTTGACAAGAGCAATGCTTCACATCTTGATGACCAATGGTTGCCTGTAGAGACGATTGGGTCAGTCTGCTTGCATTCACAATAAACCACGTCATGACTCACCAGCAGTGCACCGCGCACATCCTACCACTTTGTTGCACTTTCCATCTCCATGCCGCTTTTCCACCTTGTCCTTTGCAAGACAGTATCCACACAGACCAGCCATCTGTTTCCGGACATTTGTGATGGCCAGGCCAATTTTATCAACAATGTTGACCTCCACCCGTGCTCGTTTGACATTGGATAGGTACATAGGTCTTGTTCCAGGCATGACTACTTCAGGTTCCTTGTCAGCTGGCCTCTTCCTGCTAGCTTGGTTGGCAATATCCATGCAGTTTCCACACACTCGAGGACATCCAACCTGCTTGCAATTCCTGGCTTCTCCATCCAATACTTCTGAAAATGTCTCAGCAATACACCTATGGCTTTCCATCAATTTCTCGGCAAAACTTCCTTTCTCCGGCTTCCCAGTCTCAAACAACCACACATTTGCTGCCTCCAAATCGCGTCCTGCTTGCCCAGCCTCTTGGAAACACTTGTTGATGTCTGTATCGTCTTCAGGCAATCCAAAAATCATGACATTTCTAACATGCTTGTAGTTGATTCCAGCACCAAACTCACTTGTTGCAATCATCAAGCATTTGGGTGTTGTCCTCCAATGCTTCACATTGCCAGCTCCTTCTCCATCTGGTAGTTTTGAGTAGTACTTTGTGATAGGCAAATCAGGATACAGCTTTTTGAGATCTTCCACTGCATTGTTGCATTCCTTCTTGTTTTTGATGAAAAGGATGTTCCGATCGCGGTCGGCCAGGTTGGACTGATTGGCGAGCTTGCCAACCTGAGAAATCATGGCTTCCCACTTGCAGTTTTTGACCGTATGAAATTGAAGTTCAGGTCGACCAGTTGGTTCTCGGAAGTCTTTGACATTGGTGATGCAGAATAGCTTATACAGGTACTCTTCATGACCCACTTGCATTGTTGCTGTCATAAACACAGAGGGTGCATTGAGTTGTCGCAAGCGTGCTACACCGGTTGAATAGCTTCGAAATGTAACATTGTCTTCATAACAATGAGCTTCATCAATAATGACCCGATTCACTTTGTGGCGTTGTAAATCACTATAGAACTTTTCTCCAGCTGCAACATCGGTGGTACACACCACCACTCGGTGCCATTTCTCTATTACACAATTGGACCCAGCCTTATACACCAGATGCTTGATACCTTTGTCTTTGAGCATGTCGCTTGTTTCTGCCACCAGGGCAGTCAGGGGCTGCACCACGACTGTGATTCCAGTGTGCTTGACCAAAGGGGGAAGCATGTAGGCTAATGATTTCCCCCCCCTGTGCGTGCAACCACCAGCATATCGTAGTTGCGGTCCAGTACCATTGTCAGCCAGTCAGCTTGGAATGGAGTCCTGGTCCCTGCTTGCCGTTGACCAGTGAACTTTTCTAGCGCCTTCTCCAGAAGTTCCCCAGCTGGAAGTGGTTTTTCAGCAGGGGGTTCTGCAAAACCAGTCTGAACTGGGCCGTCAATCTAAACATACCATTGCCAATCAGTACTCAGCACCTAGAACACTGGAAAGGACTACACTCACTTCCCAAAACCTGTGCATTGCCTCACTTGCTGCCTTGTACCGTTTTTCTGACTCACGATCCACATCATATCCACCGGTGCCTCCATATGATGTGTTTGCGGTGGCGCTGTTATGGCCTCTTTGACAGTCAATGATGGCATTTTTGCCTGACTCCAACACCTCTGCATGGTCTTTGATATGTGCATCTACAATTGACACCGATACATGTTGCCAACCAGAGATGCCCAGCTGTGCCACTCCGCCTTCTGCAAACTTGCGCTTGAGAATGTTTGTAAAGTGGGAAGATTCCAGAGGGCCTTTGCGGGTGTGTACCCACAGCTTGGTGGTCATGTGGTTTGCAATCTCCTTGTTGTCTAGAGCTTTCAGAAAGAAACTGGACATTTGAAAGTCAGCCAAAGCAGGAATAACATTAAACAAATAATTTGCTTACATTGCGGTAGGGCGGAGGAACGCCAGATAGTAGAACCATAATAAGCTGTGCCGTCTTGGAAGGAAGGTCAGACGAGGTTTGTTCTTGCCACTAATATTTTGACTCTTGTGATACCATGTCAAGAAAGCAAATCTACCCGAGCGCAGATAGATGTTCCTTTGATTCAAACGGGTATTCACCACCAAAGTTGTCATTTCTTCAGTGCCTCTCAGGGGCTGCCCGGATGCCACATGGTATAGAAAGTATAAACGCTCTTGAAGCCTATCGTACATATCCAGCCAATCTAGCATGGCGGATTTTTTCCAGAGTGCTGGATTGTATATAGATGTGTCTTCAGTCAGGCCAGTCTTCCAAGTATTATTCAACAAGCCATGTACATCCTTGCGCCTAACCCACTCCTTGAGCAAATGATGACCGTACTTTCTGTGCTCGTCTCCAGAGTGATCCAAAAAGTTTGTAAATGGCTTTCTACTATGAGGTTCCTCCTTGTACAAGCTTAGATCAAAAGCAGGCATTTTGCAGCCCTCGAGGAGTTTGGCCAGATCAGCATCTGCCATTTTTTGCTGGATGTGGATGCAATTTCGAATACCACTGATAGTCACCCTTTTGTTTTCCACTTCCAGAGTTTCTTGTTCTGCATCTGCCCAGTAGGTTGTGTCAGGCAGGGCTTCTGACAACACAAATACTAACTAAATGCATGAGCTGTCTGACATAGTTGAAAGGACCGGGGCCGTTTTTCCTGAGAAATTCGAATCTGCTCCGGTCGTCCTTGATTGGCTGGAGGGGGTCGGCATCTGGGTTGAATGGTTCTCGAGGGGTATCTAGGTACTGTTCAGCAAAGGCCAGCCGAGTTCCGTATTGCATAGCTGCAATGAGGTGGGTGAGCAGAGTTGAATCATGATATGAACCGTCTATTTTGAGGGTTGAAAAAGCCAGAAACTGCATTGGGGGAGTTTGATACTGCTTGCACCAGCCACCAGTGCCAGCTTGGAATACTGAGCATAACACTTTTGAAACTTGTTTACCCAGAGGATTGTTTGTGATTCTGCTAAAGTCGAGGTCGTCGCCTTGGCCTGGCACCTTTGGAGGAAGCTCCATGGGTGCTGCAATGTTACGTAGCTGCATGATTTCGTTTTTGGTGACATTGTAGAGCTGGTATTCTGGATCCACCGGATCCTCAGCCTGACAAATCAAATAATACATAAAAGACGCCAAGATTTGGGCATATTTGATTACAGAAGCCTTTTCTTGCAAAGGCATCAGGCCTTTGTTGTCTTCCATCTCGCTGAACAAAACAATCATCAGGTCTTTGTATTGGGCACGAGGAGATCAAAAACAATCATGAAACCCACCTAGTTTCTGCCATACACATACGTTTGATCAACTGTCCAGTTTCATGCAGTCTTTTCATGGTTTTATCAATCCATGCTGCAATGTATCTGACCATGACCTCCACACGTTCATTTCCATCACCCGCCACAACCAACTGCTCAATAGTTTTTCCAGACTCTTTCAGAAGCTCAATGTATGTATGTATTCCAGTAACATAAATCCAGTTTGCCTGCTCTTTTTCCAGAGTTGAATCGGGTCCATGGTCCACAAGTTGAGCAGCATCTTCCTCCAACTTTAAAATCATTCTAGTGACTACATCTGATTCATCTAACACATCCACCACCTCCTGCTCCATCATTCCGTTTCCACCTACAATAGCTGGTTGTACGTGAGGGAGTACAGCAAAGAATTTCTCCCTGTTATGCCCGTAGAAGGTCTGACACTTATCCCTTCTTCGGTGCGGTTTACGGCTATCTTCTGTTGGAAGTTCTGAAGAACAAATGATACAGTCAGTCGTGCATAAGTACAGGGAGTGATTGCCAAAAGGGCCTGACCTTTGGCGTGTTTGAGTGAAAAGTGATTCAGGATGGTCTTTCTACAACGCCATGTCAGGTTGCAAATTTTGCAGGTATAACCATTGTATGACACTAATCCCTCGACGGGTTCACAGGGGTTTCCTGCTTCATACCCAGGTGGGAACACAGATCCTTGAGCCATGCCTACGTAGTCAACTAGATCCAGGGTACACTCATTTTTTGTGTAATTGCAAGGGGAGTTTTCCCTTTTGTAATGTGACCAAACCTCAGACACAGGCATGCCAATGTTACACCCTACACATATGAGGATCTTACACCGCTTATTCCACACAAGGTTGTACTTTGTGAGAATCTCATGTACTGTGGGGAAGTCAGTGACCCAATTGACGGCAAATACAATGAGATTGAATGCATACCTTCAACCTCTTCCCCACAAGGTATGACCACACCGCCGTCACCAGGCTGAGTGACAGTGTGAATGATGGGGGGACCTTGCCCATCACAGCTTTTACAGTGAGATCGCAGATATCATGGGTTTTTGTTATTGTATTTGCACAGGCCAATTGGGCAGTGGAATAAGCCACCTGCATCCCTGCAAACTGTGTGCTGTACTTCGTGATGTGTGACTGTCACCTTGGTTTGATGAGCCAATCTTCGATGTTCATCCAGGTCACCCTTCTTGAGGAACACCTGACCACAATCTTTTACTACACATTGACGTTCTGACCTGTTTTGGAAGAAAACAATGTAGCCAATGTCAAAGCGTAAGCTTATAGTAGACCATTCTGGAAGGGTAACTGAAGATATGGCAATGAAGAGGTCACATCAAGACCGCATGGCTGCAGCAATGGCACGTTCAAAATATCGCCAAAAGCGAAAATCAGAGCAAACATGCCTGGCGGTGATTTCCGCGGAAGTGATTGATAGGAAGAGGCAAGAAACAGTCTCTGGCGTTCTATTTATCGCCAAAAGCGAAAAAAAGAACAAGACTTGCACATGATGTGGACAGTTTCCCACTGTCCACACAAGGCTAAACAAAAGGATAAGAGCAGGGAACATACAACTCACGAGGTCATAATTTGAGTTTCACACAGGTATCAGGTGTGTGACAGGTGTGTGACAGATGTGTGACAGGGATGTGAAAGACTTGGGTAAGCTGTGCAAGAGATGAGATATGGATATATATTCTGATGAATAAGTGTAGACCAAGGAAGGAAGCGTAGACTAGGCTTGCGGGGATACAGCAGCGTCTTTGTGGGCAGCAATGTCATTGGAGAGCGCCAACCCCGCCAAGGGAACAGAACAAGGCATTGCAAGACCTAACCTAATAGAGATACCAACAAATTGCTGCAGCGCAGTGACTGAGCCGCAGGGACTGCGGCATGGTCACTGCGCCGCAGCCATAGAACATATATTACAAGTACACAAACCATCGGCCAGAAGAGATTGAGAATCACCCGGGATTCACAGTAAGTACTACACATTGCAGGGTGAAACTCAATGACAGTGAGTAGTGGTTTGAGGAACTCGTAGTGCCTTACTATGTCATCACTAATGTGAGAATTGTTTATTTGAATATGCAGCTCTGTTCTGTTTTGATGTAATGAAGTAGCCATTTGCCAAATGGCTGAGTCCAATGGAACCTTCTTGCTACAAATTCAGCTTGAGGTAATAGATGAAGGAATGCAAAGTCATATATAGATGTCTGTATATGAGTAGACACATTGATAAAGTCATGTACCTTGTACATCAAACAGCGCATGATATCTAGGAGAACCACATAGTATTCAAATTGAGGCACGTGGCGACCCAACCCGGGAAAAGCTGTTACAATTCAAGATTCATCGTATGCTCAAGTGGTTGATATGTAATTACCTTGACGTCAGCTTACTGCATGTGTCAATATGTACATGTTGACAAAAGCAAGGAGATTGATACTAGCAGATGTTCTATTTATCGCCGATGGCGAAAGTTAGACAAACGCTTCCGTCAATACAAGGGGTGACTACTCATTGGCATATGTGAATAACAGCGAAGCGTTCCTGCAAATAAAATGGATATGGTATGTTGATATGCTGCAATTTAATATCCTCACACATCACGCTGGAATGTGAATCAAGTAAATAAAGGGCGAGGAATATGTTTTATCATGGCGATCAATAGGACAAAAGTATTGTGCCATGTATTGCAAATAAGCAAATTGCGCCAAACAGGTTGAGGATGTCATAGATTAAGAATTGTTCGAAATATCGCCGCTGGCGATATTTTGAACGCAGCCATTGCCGCTGATGTCAAACAATCGCCGCTGGCGATATTTTGAACGCAGCCATTGCCGCTGATGTCAAACAAAAGCAAGATTAGGCCTATGCACGTGTCTGAGAATGGCGATGAATAGAACATGTGTGGGTATAAGCATGATCAACACGATATAATGGCACCACAAAGATTGCTCACAGGAATCAAAAACACAGCAGTGGCTTATAATTTCTTCAGCAAACACATAAGATAAGAACTCTAAATGAAGGGATACATCGCAAGCACACACAGCAATTCAGAATAAATAGCTGGAAGTCAAAAAACCCCATATCCAGTCATTCATCATCATCAACTTCTACTTCTAGCTCAGCATCTTCTTCCACCTCAGCATCTTCCTCTGCCACATCCTGAGTCGCTTGTGACTTCTCCTTGGACTTCCTAATGTCATTGCTCATTCGAGTTTGAGGGTTACTCTGTTTAGTAAACTCACCATTAGGCTCCTTTTCAGGATACAAACCACTGCCACCTTGAGTAACTGGATGTAGGGGACCTTTGGTTGGTCCCCACAGGGCGCGAAAGGATTCCGTTTCGGGCCCGTTGAGTTTCAACTTCAGTAAAGTCTTCTCGATATTGACATGATCCATAACAAGTCCATTGATACCAAGAGATAGGCCAGGGCGGTGCGTTTCGGTGAGCAAGTCCAACATAAACAGTCCTGCTAGCTTCTTGATGTCAAAAGCAGTATAGAAGTGCTTGGTCATAGCTGACCATCAAATCCCACTCTTGAAGGAACATCTGAAGAGAGGTGAACATCAGGTCGTCGAGGCGATTCCAAGCTTGAGCTCCAAATACATGTGCTCCTTCTTGTGCGCGATACTCTTCATATTGACGATCTACCAGTAATGATGCTAGATTAATGAAGATTGCTGACTCTGGCATGTTTTGCTCCTTATAGTTAGGCCAAGTATGAAATAAACCTGCAGTTCCAAACATCAAAAATAACGCCAAGTAGTGCAGAGACTCCTTCTTGAACTCTGACACATCACGGGAATCTTGAGCTTTGACTTTGTCCGGAATTTTGCTAGTAGACGGATTTGCTGCTTGAGAGGAAGACGCAGGCTCAATTGATTTCGGTGGGGCGGAACTGGCGGCAATGGACTTCACTCGTGAGGTAGAATACTTATTCCTGTCGTTCATTAGTTGATGGATCACCGTATCCTTGCGCTGAGAGGCTTTCAAGGATTTGATGTCTCGAACAGTAGCTCCGGCCTGAGTTGATAATGCAATTATACTATTGTTGATCTCACTTTCAACTATCAAGTTAACGGCCATCAATACCATGAAGTACTTTCGTTGAAGAGTCCTGACAGTGGCGTTTGAGATTTTCCCGCGCTTAGAGATAGCATCATCGTTGCCAGAGGTACATTGACGGAATAACCAAGCAATAGTCTTACTCATTTCACTAGTAGACTCGTGGACTCCGTCTTCACCATCAACTCTAATATTGATTGAACTGTGATCATAATCGTAAGCTACAACCTTGAGACTGTCCGCTAGAATGTTGTGCAGAATTGCGTAACCAGTGTGAATGTGACCTTTGATCATCTGATCCTTGGTCCAGTCCGGGTCTCGATTTGTCCTGACACACATCGAGTGAAGAGCTCGGAAGAGAGCGTTCTTCTTAGACCAAGGGTACCTCGTGCTGGTCTCAATCAGACCCCAATTTAAACGGGAAGAAGTAATGAGCGGATCACATGAGGATACCTGCATCAGACGGGGAGTTAGAAACACACAGGTCAGTCAATGAGACGAATATGAGACAATAGTTTCTCACAGGTTGAGTTAAGACTGACCAGTTTGTAATCGCAAAATCATCAACTCCTTATCCTCAACTAAGGACCTGACATACATGAGGTGGGGCGCCAGATCACTCGAGGTTGGATGGCCAATCGTAGAATCAGAATCGTATGCCCAGCAGTAAATGATGTTGGCCACTGGAGCAGCAAGGACATCACCCCAGTTGAAATGAGATGATTTGATCTCATCTCTGGTGGCTTCAATCTCTGAAACTTCGTCCGGGGTAGTCTCAGTTACAATCACTGGAGAAAGAAGAGTAAATAAGCCAATAGCACCACGAGGACTTATAGCTGGTCAGGCGGAGGTGATGGAGGTTGACAAGAAATGGAATACACTAAGGACACACGTGCTATTTATCGCCTTCAGCAATAAATAGAACAACACACGAATGAATTCCAATTGAAAGAAGGAGGAGGAGGAATGTTGTTCTTTTTATCGCCTTCAGCAATAAATAGAACAACACACGAATAGATTACAAATGAAAGAAGGAGGAGGGGGGATGTTGTTCATTTTATCGCCTTCGGCGATAAAATGAACAACACACCAATAGATTTCGAATGAAAGAAGGAGGAGGAGAAATGTTGTTCTTTTTATCGCCGTCAGCGATAAATAGAACAACACACCAAAGAATTTCAGAATGAGAAGGATTGTTGTCCTGTTCGTCGCCTTTAGCGATAAATAGAACAACGCACCGATAGACTTCAAATGAAAAGAGAATGAGAAGGATGGTTGTTCTATTTATCGCTGAAGGCGATAAATAGAACAGCACAGTTGTTGGGTGACATGGTATGTCATAAAGTCGAGAGAAGACAAAGCCGGAAGTCAAGAGGGTATAGGAGAGATGAACATGAATTAGTAGGAAACTTACAGCTGAGATCAGGTTTAGCCACATGGAAAATACAGTTCTCGTCGACCTTCATCATATCGGGACCTTCAGTCACAACTTCGGTTGATTTCTTCTTCCCAGCTTGCTTTTCTTTCATAGCATCCTTCATAAACACGTCTTGATTGTTCTCAGGATCAGGAGCATCCATAGGTCCTTCAGCCCACTTATCCACCTCTTGAGTGATTATAGCGCGGCTCTTCTTCCTTCCACGCGCTCCTTGTTGATCTCCTAAGATTTCTTCTCGAGTTTCCTTGTTAGACTCTTTACTCTCCACATCAAGGAATGACTTAGGATTGACATCCTTCTTCTTCTTGTGGTCTACTGTAGCAAACAGATTATATTAGTAAGATCTCGGTTTGTGTTTGGAAGCGTGGGTGAGCTACATACCCTTGTCAAGAGGAGTCCCTGCCTTGCGTTTTTTGGCAATAGGTATTGGCTTGGTGGCAGGTGTGGGAGGATTATACACTGTGCACACATACACTACTTCTGGCGTATTGCTGTTGAGTGCGTCAAACAAGTTGGATTCATTCTCCTTCATAGTTTCATGCAGCTCAGCGAGAAACTTCTTTGACACTTGAAGGGACCTGTTGATGGCGCCTTCAGCAGCATTGCTTTCGAGTTTCATCACATGCTCCTTAGTTTTATCATACAACACTTTGACTGATCAAACATCATGCCATTAGTTTGTAATATCAACTTTGAAATGAGATGGAGACATACCTTTGTCGTATTGCCTTTGTGCTTCCGCTACTTTCACTTCCCTTTTCATCTGAGTCGAGGGTAGTTCAGCCTGAGTTTGCGTAGAACACATCAGTCAAGTCTCATCATCTGGGGAATTGGAATTTAACTTACAGCTGGCTCATGAGATCTTGGTACCTTCTTAAAAGACAAACTTTTGAAAACTTCTCTATCATTTTGATTGTCTTCCTCAGATCCATCGCCTTCCGTTTCTTGATCCTTAGTGGATGGCGCTCCTCCGGGGGTGGGCGCTTCCTCGTTAGCCGTATCCTGCAGATAAGAGTTTGTCAGACATTACAGTTAATCAGTATCGTAATGACACTTTGAAATCACCTTGGTTTTCTCTTGCATGGGTGTGGTTTCGACTGCCACATCTTCTTTATTGGAGCATTCCTATGGGAGAAACGTCACATCAGTGGATAATTTGTATGGGTAACATGGTATTAGAATGACATACTCTTCAATGAGCTGGGGTTGGCGTTTCTGGTATGTCCTTGCCTGCTTCATCAATCTATAGAAGCTCTCCATAATCAACAGCTACCCTCATTGGATATTGATCTACTTGAACAACTCACCTCGGGTACATGAGGTTCGACTGGTTGGCTGGCCGCGCGTGATTGGGCCTATGGATCACATGAATAGTAAGGCAAATTGTCAGGGAGTTCAATGGTCATCCTTAGGATAATAGTATCTCATTATCTTACCAACATGGCCGAACGTCCGCCGGCGTTCAAGTGTCCCTTGGCCAATCCACTTGAGGCTGTATTGGAGCCGACATGCGGTGCTAGGCTGCTACCTCGAGTTGCCTACTCAATCACAATAGTGGTCAGTGCTATGAAAAACTCTTCGAAACCAATGACCGGATGTGGCACTTACTCTAGCGGCCAAAGTAGATTTGCGCCCTTGCTGGAGCTCTTCTTGCTGTTGATTGGAGTTGTTTGATCTGGTGTTCTGCATAACGATAATACGATAAGTTACTTTGTTTCGCAAGGGTTGATCTACTTGGAGTTGAGAAGGTGGTACAGGTGATTGGGTTGCTTGTTCTTTTTATCGCCGTTGGCGATAAAAAGAACAGAGCGAGCCACAATTGAATTGAGTATTGGGGATGAGTTGGTCATATACTGATGGTGGATAGATTACACAACAAGTCTTGATAGAGATTTGAACCCCACAATCATGAATGGCTGTCCTTTTTATCGCCTTCGGCGATAAAAAGAACGCTGATGATGTATATGGTCCGACATGATATAGAGCGGATTCATCAGCTCTGATCCTGCGCTGGTCTTCTACCTGCCATCAGCAGATGCCACATCAGAGCGCATATAGAAGAAGCAAGCCTTGAGGTGATGTTGGAAGGAAAGTCAAGAAAACTGCCAGTCATGTTCAATTTATCGCCTTCAGCAATAATTCAAACACGAACGAGGCCAGGTCACAGCATCTTGTATGAGTTTGAGCGTGAGTTCACGTTGATTTGAATATACGTGATGATGGAGGTTGAAATAAGCCAGTCATATGAGGTGTGTGCTGTTTTTCGCCGTTGGCGATAAAATGAACAGGCCGTGTTCATTATATCGCCGCGCTAATTGGTTTGCAGAAGTGGGAGGAGGAAGAGAAAATGAAATATAAGGAATTCGAAATATGAATCAGCAGTTTGCTTACTTGACTCATCTCTGTAGTAGTGACTCGGGTAATCGGGTCGGATAGTCGGGTCGGATAGTCGGGTCGGGGCTGTGGGGCGCGGGTGATTATACTCTGAAGGTGATTGGTGGGCAGGATCGGATAGTGTGGAAGAGAAATCAGAATCTGGATTTCTTCGAAATCAGAAATCATCTGGACTTTATAGTGAACTATTATCATCAAGTTGGGTCTTTGCACAGCACATGCTGTGCAAAATAGGTCTGTACATGTGTACACGTGTAACTGTATTGGGAACTCCGGGGCTGCCAAAAATGTACCATGTGGGATTCAAACCCATCTTCCCTCACTGGGTTCAGTGTCTCTACCAACTAGACTATGCATCCATGACCTGAACTGGTGCAGTAGTTCATTATATCATGCGCTTGGTCTGTGGTATGTGGGTTCATTGATTTACAAATCATTCGGAGATATGTATTGCGTGACATTTGCAGTAGGCATGTCATGGGAATTTCACGGGGGTGTCAAATACATGTCAGATATATGTCACACTTGCATTGATGAAATAATTTGCACTTCAGCGCATAGTGTGTGTTGGAAATGCTAAATTATGTGTAGGTATGTCTTCATATTTCATCATCTCATACTAAGTTACATGGGATATACACTGTGTGACTGCCATTTTTCACCGAGGTGACACCTGGCACTGATTTGTTCCACGGTTGTCCAGTGCGCCATCTGTGATGTCAGTGGCGTTCTGATTTTTGCCGCCGGCGGAGAAATGAACATCAGGCATGGTCTTATCACATGTGTGACATGTAGGCAACTGCACAACCTCTTGTTCAATATATCGCCGTCGGCGATATTTGGAACATTGAAGGCGGGCTATTGGGCTTTGTGTGTTCTGATTATTGCCGTCGGCGATATTTGGAACAGGGAGCGGACTAACATAAGGGGCTCCGGGCTGCGGGTTGTCAATTAGTCCGCTCCTCAGCCAAAAAGCGGACTAAGCGGACTAACCCGGGGCGCTACGGGACTCCGTCCCGTAGCTAGGGAAGATTGGTGTTATTTCTAAATAAAGGTAGGCCAAATGAACTCACCGTAATGATCACTCAAGGAGATGAGTTCAGTCCAGTTCGGGTACACCATTCAGGTATTTTTGATTAATTCAGTTAGTACACTTCAGTGTCTACAAAGGCTTTGGTATTTCTATTGTGAATGCTTGCCATGTCAGGTTCAGTGAATCAAGAGCAAAAAGCTATATGAGGAATTGGTTTGTGTACAACTTGAGATAGGTTTCAGGTACCTTTTGCTGTTGTTGAAAGTGATGTGGTGTCTTTCTGCATTCAAAGGGAAATGTGTCCAATGACAGATTGTAGGTATTGTAGGTGACCGCGGCTTTGGTATTATTGTGGTATGCACCTATGCCACTGATTAAGTATTCTGTGTAGCCTGATAAATTCCTTGTCATCAACCATTACGCTGAGAGGATGGGACCTGTACGAGGAGTGAAAAACACGACTGTACAGACCTCTCGCTATGAATGTGTAGGATGAACAAATTGTTTGGAGTCAGCATGGTATATTTTTACTTTCATTAATGGTTTTGTTTGATGGATTGAAGATTTGTCTTTGATCCACTGAACATCTTGTAGCATCAACATGGTGGGAGAATGCTATTCTACAAGGTATGATTTGGTGACACAGAGCCCTTGAAGAGTTGCGGCACGTATCAGGACATTGTCGCCTCGGAATGGGAGTCAGGTTTCTCAAAAGACTTTTACTTTGTGTGATCTGATGCAGATGTTCAATGTGTCCCATGTGCCCTGCTAGTTGTGGGATGATGAATGTATGTGGCATTTGGATTGATTTATGCAATGACCATTCATTTGTACACGTGACAGTAATATTTCATTACCCGGTACGGTGGAGTAAACCAATATACCCCCATTCACTTGAGGATTAACCTGGATATATGCCAATACATACCATGGTTATGTCTTGGTTGAGCATCCTTGTCATTGTTTGAATACTTTGTTATTTATACATCGTCATGTACTACGTAATTTCAATGTACAGCATTGTTTGAATAAGCTTATATTGATACATGCTCCTGCGTCCTTGCGTTTGCTGATGTACTATGTAATTCCAATGTGCAGTCATTGTATTTGATTGTGGTGTCAGCTGAGTGTGATGCCATTGGGTGTTGTACTGATGTGATTTGTAAAGTACCACCCTCACATTCAACAGCAGAGTCACCCATGGTAAAGTATAACTGACAGGTAAAGTCCGCCGACATTGAGGTTTTGGCGGACTTTGAGCCACGAAGCATAATTAAACTCCGCCAAATGGCTCCTTACGGCGGAGTTTTGTGCTGAGGTTGCCTGAAAGTCCGCCAAAATGCACATCTCGGCGGAGTTTTTCATGTTCATCTTCACAGTCCGCCGGAGTGAGTGTGTGGGCGGAGTTCACAGCCTGGGCGTCCCGCTTTTTGAGGCTCCGGGCTCCGGGCACGCCGGCGGGACGCCCTGCCGCTAAAAGGCGTCCCGGCCTCGAGGGCTTGGGGCCGGGGTCTGGTAGCTAGGGCAAATGATGTGAAAGCAGCGGTTGAAGCAAAGGTTGTGAGTATATAAGGAGGGGGGTTTCTAGCGAATGGAATCATCATCCTATCATGAGTTTGATTTGATCAATGTGTGTGTTCTTTCTTTTGTGATCGAGTTCGATTGATGGTTTTAAAAGAGTCTTGAAGTGTTTATTTTCAATCTTGAGGTCTTGTTTGCGTGATTAAGATAAAATAAGTTGTCTTGAAGAGTTTTGTTGAATTTAAATAAGGCTATTGATAGTGTTTGAGCGTGATCTACGGTGTTCTTGATAACTTGCTGAGAGTGTAGTGTTTGAGTTATTGATATTGAAGTCTTGATCGGTTGCTGAGCTGGTGTGAAGACGTTGGTCTTATTATTTTATTATTATTATTTTTTTATTCTGTTATTGGTGTCACGGAGTGTGAAATCTCAAACAACTCGGGGCCAACCCTGAGCACTGGTTCAAATCCCATCCTTTCAACAAATTTGCCAAATTTGAAAATTCCCTTTCTGGAAATTCGACTTTGCCAATTATTCGAAACAATTAAATTGTTATCACTGGGTTGGAGTACCCAAATTTCTGGAGAATCCCCACCGCCGACAAAACCACTTCCCCCCTCTCCAATTGTAAAAGTACACTGCGGACTCAAAATCCAAAAATAGTGAAAAATTGAAATTTGCATAACTTCAGCTATAGACGTTGTGTAGGCGTATACTGTACACCGCCAGGCTCCGCCAGACTTTGCACATCCATCTACGGGATAAACAAAGTTTTGCGGGAAAAATTCGTGAAGATAGAAAGTTGTTAGATTGCTCTGGTTCTTTTCGAACTGCAACAAAAGGTCAAGGGCAGCTTCACCGCACCCGTAGTTTCATCCGCTCTCACAAGTGGTGATTCTTACCCTCTCCGGCTCAGCCTACGCTACACTGCGTAGGAGTTCTACACTGTCTTCTTTCAAGTCTTTCAACAACAAATCTCCCATTTCATTTCTTTGTTTAGAGTAACTTCCCTTCCTAATTTTAACTCCATACATATCATAATGGGCAAGAAGGGACGTGTGGTCAATTGTCCACTTGGTCCTAAATCGACTAAACGTGCACGCCAAACGCCCGCTGCATCTTCTTCTCAGCAACTCGCTGCTACTCTGGCGGAGGTTGAAACGACATCTGCCCTTCAAGCTGCCAAGGTGTTGAATACGGCTCTCGCAGTAAACCAGCAAGTCCAAATCCATCCAAACACAGTTGAAGAAGGACAAGAAGGAGGTGGACCACCATTGAGTGTCAATTTTGATCGGCCTGAGCCCTCCCCAGACGACTCCGAACATTCTTCTATCCCATCATCTCCTATAGTCAATCCTCCTACACCTGCCTTGACAGGTATAAACCTATCATTTAGAGATTATATTCGTGGAGACTATTATAAATCAAAGCAACTAACCAAACTCCGGAACTGGAAAAAGGTGTTGGGCCCGATGTTTGTGACCTACATGTCTCAGTCTAACAAAACTGCGCAATGGGGAAATCATCAAAATTTGAAAGAAGACTTCAACAAAGATTGTGCTTGTGGGGTTGGCAAGCTCAAAACACGATCTGTAGACCTTGTCGACATTATATGTGAGTGTCGGTAGTTAAATCTAAATGACTGATATGACGCTAAAGCCATTGTTTGATTGCGTACTGTAGCTCATGAAAAGAAAGAGATTCGATTTTGCCAATGCACCAGTGATCAAGTCAGATTGATCCGAATGGGCTACATTGGAGGCTCTCCAATCCACCCTCAAACCGCGTTCTCGGTTCGCCTGCTTCGACTTCATCACACAATGTGGAAGCAGTGTACAGTTCGCATGCAAGGTTTTTCATTGGCAATAGACGAGTTTCTTGATGCCTCTAGCCCTCTCATCCTAGTGCCTGGAACCACTCAGGCGAGTTTTAGTTTGCTCTCCTGCTTTGTTGGTGTCGTTGAGGTAGAACACCAGCTGACAAACGATCTACATATGTATATGGATTTGAGCCACATTTATGGCGAAAGACTCTTGCTGCTGCTGTGGATGCGTTTCGACATATGCTGATGATGGAAGACGAGCTATGCGATTTGTCACTCAATCTTTCGGAGCTGGGCAAGTTGGCCGCCAACTGTCCGCGATGCTTTGGTCATCTCCTCGAAAATGACCAACCTGACGAGCCAGACTTTATAATATGTCTGGATGGTAACTTCCAGCATTGAAGACATACCGCCGCAAGTCGTGAGTACAAGGAACAAACAGTATCCTATCCTCCACTGTTCATGAATCCCAATCAAGTGAATGAGTGGGCTCCGGGAGGATCGCGTAAAAGCGTGGTCTTGATGCGCCGGTGAGTTCAGTCTCACTGTTTGACCGTTTGTCGAATATCACTTAAGTTCAGCCCTCTTGTGATAGGACCCATGCACGGCACAGCACACAGCCGCTTCTGATCACCGAGGAGCAGCCACTTGGAAGGGGTGCGACAAGACCGGTCTGATTGGCATGGCATGCCGCCATGACCACATCTTGTGATTTGTGAATGTGGTGCAAAGTGGTGAAAAGTACGTCTTCATCTTTTCATTTCCCACCTTTACTCATTCATACTAACATATCTTCATTACTCAGACAATACTTTGTGCTGGCTCTGCTGGATGAGATTCTAGCTCATATATCGAATGCATCTGAAGTAGATCGCCCAAAATCCCTGGGGATACTGTACGATATCGGTTGTACTCTTGAAAAGAGTATCGAGAATGTGAGTAGCACTTACCTTATTTCTATTTACATAGCTATTCAGATTGATTGAGCCTACCCTCGTTGCTGACACGTGGATGAATTAGAACGAGCTGCTCAAGACCAAGTATCAGGGAGGTCAGCTCAATTTTGGCACAAGTGTATTCCACGCCTATGTGCACAGGTGGTCATGCCAATTGGAGTACAATCCTTGTCTCAACAAGGGCTGGGGTCTCTCAGATGGCAAGGGCCTCGAGCGCAACTGGTCATTCCTGTCTCCATTGGTCATGCCAAATCGATACTCCACCAAACAACATCGACTAGTCAGCTTGTATCTCCGTGCGAAGCATCAAAACACAATTCTACGTGGCAACGCAGGTAAGTGTCCATAGTTTCTTATGATTGACTTCTCACAAAAAGAGCTTAATTTGTGCTACTTTTCCTACTCAACTGTAAATTCAGTTGGTTCCGCCCATAAGAAGCTGAAAGATGCCCAGGCAACTTTTTCTGAAGCAAACAAAAAACTGGATGAGCTTTCGAGAAGCAATCCTCAATATACAGAGGCTTATTTTGATGCCCAATGGAACAGACAGCGGTGCTTGCAGCTGGCTGCTATGGAGGACACCAGTCTTAGCAAGCTGGAAGAGCGGGTGGTTGAGTTGGTGGACATGGAGGAGAACCTCCGAGAGGCACAGTGGGTCACTTCATCTTGATTGTATAGGGCTGGATGCACTAATACATTACCTCCTATTTCAATAGGGCTCAATTAAGACGCTTGAAAACCCGCCGGAGGCAACAAGCCCGAAACCGAGGAAACCATGTAGACCATGAACTGCTGCTCAGTTTGCCAAATTCTATCCTATTGATGGAAGAGGCTATTGAAAGCGTGGTTACAGCATTAGGAAGCGAAGAATTTTCAAACATTCGACAAGCCTCGAGTCAGTTTAGATCACTTATCGTATCTTCAATTTGGTCTATATTGAAAGTTAATCTCATCTTGTTGCAGGTCCAAAGAGCAAGGCACTCATCCAAGTGCGTATGGCAAAGCAAAAGCTTTATGAATCAAAAGTGGGAATCTTGGAGGCGCAAAGGAGATGGGAAAGACAGGGGCAAGGTATGTATTTCGTATCTGATTTCTACTTTCTATTGGTTCTTCTTTTGAAACACGATCTAATGAGTTTTACACATTCTTGATGGGTGGCAGGCACCCGTGCACAACAAAGTCTCAAACAATTCATGAGAAATAAACAGGCGTTGTTCAAACAAAAGTATGATACATTTGTACTGAACATGGACAAATACAACGCAATTCGGCCTGTCAGTGATTTATATTGCCCAACTTTTGAGGAGGCGAAGGCACTTCCCATCGACGACACTTTCTGGAATATGGGGTTCCTCTCACACCCTGATGAGGCTTGGGCAGTTGATGGTGGTACAAAGGAGGGCATCCAAGCCTTCTTACAGAAACAAAGCTCGGCTGAAGAGCTTCGTCGTATCAGTCGGGAAGTGCGGCAGATGATGCTATATGCTCTTGAAACACATAATAAGTTTGAACGTGTTCGTGCTTTGTCAGTTAAAGGTATGATATGTTATTTGCATTCCTATTGAGTTAGTAGTACAGTAGTTTTGAAGCCCAAAATTAACTAAATCGATTTAATGATGTTATAGAATGGGATCCGGCATGTACTGGTAAAGATAGCCCTATTGACTTAGTTCAGCCGGGTGGGCGACACACCAAGGAAGTATGGGTTGAATGCCAATTGGTTTTGAGTACACTACATATAAACTTGCGTCAGTCACACAGTCGCGAGTGGATGGGCTGGAATTCACATATGATCAAATTACCGAGAGACACCAAACAGTACACCAGAACATCAGCTGAATTCGATGATAAGTTGACTGTTGATTGGGGTGATCTTATTGTAAAATGTAAGGCTGACTGGGAGATGAATGTGAACGCACCGTCTCTTGAAGCCGAGCCGCTTGACAAACAAGAGATTCTTGAGCAGATGATGATATTGTGGGGCGAGGAAGAAGAAGAATTTAGATTGCCACTGGATGAGATCGAGGTTGAGGATGAATATAAGGTTGAATATGAGGTTGAACTTGAGTATATTTGAGATTTGTATGTGTTGTCCATTTCAATTAATTGTTTATATAGGTATTTTATGACTTTGATGAGCTGCGACGAGGCGATCTTCTTATTTTTTGGCCTAGTTGTAGTTTGATTTTTGTGTTTCCGAAATGAATTCTTTTTCTCATTCAGCTTGATTGTCGCAAGGCGGGAGATGATGGTCTGGGAATGTTAATGATGAATAATTGGCATAGATAGGTGGGTGTGAACGTGGATCGAGTAAGAGGAGGTGGGGTGATGAGAGGCCCGGCCTTGAAAAATTTGGAGAAGTCAGGATGGATAGGCTCAGACAAGTCTGCGCATGTCCTGCACAGACATGTCTGTGGCTCTCACACGTCTGTGAGGGGACTTGTAGAAAATTGGCTGTGAGTCAGCCGCCAGCAGACACATCTTTGCGGTTTTGCGTCTGGAAGGCGCCCTACGGATAGTATCCGCTGGATGCGTCTTGTTTTTCCTGGGATACTATCCCAGAGGTCTGGTAGACAGAGGTGAGAACGTGTGACGTAGCAGTGGATGAGCCCTCACCCGCCTGGTAGTATTACTAGGTGAAGTTTTCAATAAAATTCACCCAATCTTAGATAAGTTCAAAGACGAACATGTTTATAAACTCCAAAAGATTTAAAACTGATCATCTTAAACAATTTCAAGTATGTAGTAGTATGTATATAAGTAGCAAATGAAACATATATACAAAAAATTGGTTATAATTCATATGAATTTGTGTGATTTTTTGTTATTATTCTCCTTTTTAATCTCTCAATCTAGAAGGTATAAGTTGTTTGATAGCTACTTCTTTAATTGAATATAATTTAAATCCATGTGTGTACTTACAAAGTTATGTTGACTGTTGTTGAAGATCAACATTTTTTTTTTTGAAATTTGAAATTTGAAAATCCAAATTTGAAAATCAAGATTTGAAAATTGAAAATCGAAAATCAAGGTCCATCAGATCAAGTCTACTCAAATCAACCACAGAACCCTCTTATCATCTTCCAAAAAAACACATCTACTCAAATCAAGTCAACCAAAGTCAATCAACTTGAATCAAAAATCAAAATCAAATCAAAAATCAAATCAAATTTATATCAGATCTAACCTTTTCAAAAGGATAAATCAATTTAGATTACTCCTATCATCTTTTAAAACAATCAAATCTACTCAAATCAACTTGGATCAAATCATACATAGTATCATTATCCTTTTCAAAATCAAATCAAATCAATCAACAAGGACTCCTATCAACTTTTTTTAAATCAACTTTTCATCATCATCAACTTTTTTTAAATCAACTTTTCTTTTCATCGTCATCATCATCATCATCATCATCATCATCATCTATTACTTTTCATCAAAAAATTAGAATAAAATAATATGTCTGAGTCATCTTTACTCTCAGAAAACATCAGTGATATAAGTGATCAATTTAGCAACTTTCACTTAAAGGACTATGATTATGAAGTCCCCCTCAATATTTACAAGAGTCCACCTGAGCATCTTAAGCATAAAGATTGGGTTCAAACAGACAATAAACATGATGAATATGTATTCAGAGAAAGTATCAGAACTTTGAGAAAAGCTGAATTTGTGCATCTAGACTATGACCTCTACCACATTTCATACCTACTCTCCGTCAAAAATCAACCAGTCAATCTCAAGACCAGTCTACAAACACTAATTGCCGATTTTCAACCTCCAAATCTGCCACCAACGGTATCCACTAATCAAAGACTTGTTGGAATGGCTGAATATTTACTAGATGTCATTGAGAAATACAAAAAGGAAAAAAATGATAAATTACCTTTTTGCCTTAGATATCCTACCTTGGAATCATTAGAGAAAGTTGTTAATGAGAATGAAAAGAAGATGAAAAGAGTGAAGTATGATCATCCAGTCATCTTTCTTGATGAGGCCAAAAGGACGATTGATATGTTCATTCCACCAGTCAAAGAACATCATATAGTAGTAAGTCATCTCCATAACCTATTTTTTGTTGTTGTACAAAACAGAGACTAACACATTTGTTGTTTTATTTCCCTCCATCCTTTTTAGGAGGGATCCGAGTTAGCCTGCTTGAGAGCGTCCTCTATAATTCCCACCACCAGAGTGTCTAACCCACAAATAGATTTAGATTGTTCCCCGGTTGATCAACATCCAAAATCACCTATACTCCCCTCCAACATCCCTAATCAACCAAGATTTGAAACAAACTCAAGAAAAAAGAAGACTGGAGAAGAAAGAGCAGAGAAAGCGATTGGTCTGAACAAGGACATTAGTCTGAACTTCATTAGAACTGGCCATGGACTGTGTAGTACATTCAATGCTCATGTATTGTGCTATGCCACTGGACAGGTAAGTTTGCTCCTTTCAAGATGTTTCTCCGTATATTTCACCATTAACTTTGATTGAAACAAATCTAATTGACTTTTTCTCCTTTATGAAATCAATTCAAATCAACTTATCTTCATTTTTCAAATCCAATCTAACATTTATCAATTTTTGTCAATCAAAATCAATTCAACTCCAATCTTTTTTAATCAAAACTCATCTTTTTCGAATGGAATTCAACGCTTATCAACCAAATTCAATCAAAACTCATCTTTTTCGAATGGAATTCAATCTTTTTTGAATGGAATTCAATCGTTTTACAATCTTTTTTAATCAAAACTCATCTTTTTCAAATGGAATTTTACGTTTATCAATCTTTTTCAATCAAAACCCATCTTTTTTGAATCAAAATTAATCATAATCATTCTTTTTCGAATTGAATTTTACGTCGATCAATTGAAATCAATCAAAATCAACTCGACATGTTTCAAATGCCTATTTAGGAACCCCGCGATTGGATGGATAAAATACTGCAATTTGACTCTGAAGGACAAGTGATTCAGAAGGAAAGACAAGGTCGTCCAAAAAATAAAAATGAGTGGAATAATGTTCCCTATGGTGAAAATCAACTTCCGAAACATACACATCTTAAAGAATTATATAAGCAACAGGAAATAGCTTCCTTCACAAAACATACTCGATACTGGCACATTTTTAATAAAGTTTTGAACTTTGCCTTTACTCCCAAAGAGTATGATCAAGCCGAGGCATGTATTCGAACTTTTCTGGACAACCAAAACAATCCGGAAGGTTCAAATGCTGCAACCATGACTGGAGTTGCTGATCATCCTAATCCTGCAGTTGGAAGTAAGTTTTTTACTCAGTTTGATAAATTCTTTAAAGCTTCAAAAGATTGATAGTTTTCTCTTTCGCTCTAGATGTCACTGTCAGTTTAAACAGCCAACCCTCTCCTCATCGTGATCCAAAGGATGGTTGTGTTATGGTCTCAGATGTTGTCCATACCAATACAGTCGGTGGTGAATTTTTGATGTATGAAGTTGGGCTTGCTTCAGAGTGTGAAAACGGCAGTCAAATAGTTGGGCAATTCAATATATTATTACTTGGTATTGGGCGAGTGAAGAAGCATCCAAACTTGCCGGACCATCTGACGACAAGACGAACAAGTCTAGCGATATACTCGCATCACAAAATATATGAGATAGCTGCTAGATATTCTGCTCTCCTCAAAAAAATGGACGTGAGTTTATATTTGAGTACTCAAGCCTTCATTGTTTAAATGCTGATTTGACTGCATATCCTGTTAGTCTCACAGCAATCCTTCCTTATGGCTACCTTTGGAAGACGATCAATCTCATTTGACCGACGAGCAGATCAGAGAAAAGGCTATAGAGAGGGTGAACACTCAGTATAAGGTGTTTCAAAAGTTACATCCTGACGATTCAGCCTCAACAAGCAAAGATCTTAATGAGATGGCCAAAGCTGCTAGGGCTCAAGATTCAGTTTTACAAAAAAAGCACAATGCCAGTCAAAAGCAAAAGCAAAAAAAGAGGAAGTGTGCAAAGAAAGAGGCTGCTCAACAAGCCAAGAAAATGAAGTTAGATGAACTGTCAGATTCTTTGGAATTATGAAAGGTGATCTCTATGTGACTGCCTGTTGTTTTGATTGTTGAAATTCAAAATTTCTCATCAGCGCTGAACAGCTTAGATATATTGACAAGTAAGAATTGATCTCAAAAATGTTGCTTGGAGAGTATCGATCGAAAAGAATGTTAGAATCATAGAGAAGATGAACTCGTTGAAACTTATCTTGGTCTTTGTATTTGCTTCTTCTCTATCCTTTCAAGGATCCTTTGTTCAAGATTCATCTCAACATTTTCTTTTTGTAATCAAAAAGTCGTTTTGAAAAGCATCGAGAAAAGTTTGAAAATGATCGACTGACTTCACTTTTTGCTCATGTTTATTTCTACTGAGATTTCCAGTTCTAATTTCATTTCTCCATGACCATTATTGAGAAGAGCGATGAAATGTCATGAGTATTCTGAGAAAGTCCAACTTGATCCTCTTAACAAAATGATAATAGTACCCCTTTCTAACTACAAATTCATCATAAACCACTAGACCGTTATTGATCTAGTGGGTAATAAAAAGCCTACTTGTCATCTAATCAATAGATAGTTCATGTACGCACAAGTAGCAAAATGCCACAAAGAAGGTAATAATTATAATCCCAATCAATACTACATCATGTCGTTTCATTCCGAATTCTCCGATCCTAAAGCCAAAAAAAGTTAGGTAAAACTCAAACACAAATAATTTCAAAAAAGAAGGATACATACAGCCACCATACCTCGAACATGTCGAAGGACACTTTCTTCAATTTGAACTCTTACCAACTCACTTCCAAGTGCATCTTTCATTTGCAGCCTCCCTGAAAAAAAGCAAGAGCCATGGCTAAATGGTGGGCGCAAGGCGCATGAACATGGTGGGCATTGGTTCACAGCAGGCCCTGGGTTTGAGCCATGCATGTGGTGAAACTTTCGGCCCGCACAGGGTAGTCCTTTGCCTGCCTTGAGAGGGCTCATCCCTGATCCCTGGGACACGAACACGTGGACCACCAAAAACCCGTGTCCAGTGTCCAGGGATCAGGGCTGGTAACAGGTATTTGTTATCTAGGAAATTGAAAACAGAAACAAGTAGATGTGGAAAGCCACATAGTAGAGATAGGGTGGATAACATGGATACTGGTACTTGAAGATTTCAGTACACAGTGTTAGTGCATCAATTTCAAGGTACTTGTTCTAAAGAATAGGATTGACTCACAATGTTGCAAAAGAACAAGGGATTGTAAAATGAAGATAACAAACAAATAGACCTGCTCATAAATATTGGATTGACTTGCAAAGTGGACAACAAGATAAAGATGACAACATTAATAGCATCCAACAAGGCCAATCTGGAAACGGTGATGAGAATATATGTAGAAGAATGATCAAGTTTAGAATTTGTGAAGGGGGGAAAAGAGTAGAAAGTGCGACCGGACTTGTCAAATATTCCAGCGCTCAAGTTCTTCTTTCATGAGATGCCCTTCAGCACAAATTTATTTCAATAGCAGACCACTGTCAAGGCCTGAGCAAAATGTGGGACATGTCTCAGGGTGTCCTCGTGAATGAAAACAGGGCTGATCGCAAGGATCTCTTGCGGTCATCTGCGTGATGTTGTTGGGGAGTGACCCTAATTGCCTTGATTGGTGTTGTAGATGATCATTTTCAATGTTGCTGATTGCTTATTGCTAGCTACCCTTGTCTGTCTAAAATGTTGCACAGGGCACCAACCTCCTGAATGTTGGGCTAACATTGTATGTATAGTATATGCCAAGAGTCTTCATGGCATGGGAGCAATGACGCCATAACCTATGTTCCATTGGACAATTCCCTTTGAACTGATGTTTGGTGTGCAATGTTGTATGCACACTATTGGCCTAGTACTGTGTGGTACCTTAGATCACAATCTCACTGAACCAAGACTCTCTCTATTCATGGATGTTTGGTTGTGGGAACTCAACTCCCAGTGTATTTGCAATAAGAATAAACCTAAACAGTCATTTTTTTTCAAAAATTTATTTTCTCACGGTTGTCTGCGCATTGTTACACCAATTCCAATGGTGTACCCTACACAACACCAGCATTTCAGCTTCCACCTTGAATCTTGACATTTGTATTGTCAATGTAGTCTGATTTGCTATTTTTGAACTTTCCCACACAAAAACACATTTCCCTGCCTTTTTGTAATGGGATTGGACCAGACCACCAAAAAAAAAATTCCACACATCCTCTGTACGACCCCAATGATATACTACACATGCCTGTACGATGCACCTATGCACCCATGCACCCTATGCACCCTATGCACCTATGCACCTGTGCACCCATGCACCTGTGCATGTGCCTGTGCATGCCCCCATGCACATCCATATGCATGCACAGCCCAGCATGCCCACATGTGCATGCATGTGCATGCACTTTCAACCCTGACCCTGTGACTACCTTGTAACCCTAACCCTAACCCTAAAATCTCCTCAGCATTATATGAGCCTTTCCTCTGCCTGACTTCACTCAACTCCCATATCAGGTAGTGTTCTTGTCCAATATCACACAATTCATTTGGCTATTCACTCTGCCATCCTTACATTTTCTTATTGCTTTCTTTACAATTATTCTCAAATAGACCTAAATGTTAGTAACATGAATTGTGTCATATGTGCTTCTTTTCTCGTCAACATTTACAGGATACAAACATCAAAAGCCGGGTTTTTTCCCAGTTTCCCAACTTGGAGAAAACTGGGGACACCTCACAAACCACATAAACTGAGCGCAAGAAGACAGTTCTCCAGACAATTCTCACAGCACAGCTCAGCACTCTTTTCTCACGTCACCAATCATCTCAGCCATCACCCTCAATCAACCATTTCAGTCACTTCATTCAACATGTACTCAGATATATCATTCAACTCAATTCCTATTGTCAAAGCTGCCTTTGAGTTGGATGTCAGCAAAGCAAAAGCAGCTTGGCCCCAATTTTAATTGATTGGTTTGATTTGAAACACAATTGCTTCAACTTTTTCATTTGATCTTCTCACAATGTTATATAAGGAAGCATTTTGATATCAGATTGTGGATTGAGTAAAGATGGTGTGAAGCAGCATTTGTGGTTCTTTTCCAATGAGTTGAGATTTGTAGATATCAACTTTTGATTTGCGCTGTTTCAGTTTGTACTTGGTCTCTAAACTTTCACTTGTCTCATCTTAAACAAATAAAATGAAAATCTACCCTTCCAATATTTCAACTGTATGATTGATCAATTTGACAAGCAGTTTCCTCTTGAGAAATTTAAAATTAGATTCTCCCAAAATGTAAATAGCTGTTCTGCATATTTTTGAATATAAAAAAGAAATTTGATACATGATTTGATTTGTGGAAAGTCAAAGAATAGATTCCTCTATCAGGGTGTTTAGATTGATCCCTTGAGGGGTTGTTTGGAAGTTAACCAAGGCATGAAGGTTATCATTTGAGGTGTGTTGATGTGGTATAAGGGTTAGGTGTGAGTGAGGCATTGTGTAATATAGCTATATAAGGGTGCTGGAGAATAAAGGGACAGTAATTTGTTGCTAAAAACCCAAGTTTTTCACCCAGGTTCCCAGTTTCCAAACTACAGCCAAAAAGGCTGAGTTGGGAAGCTGGGAAACTGGGGGGAAAAACCCGGGTTTTGATGTTTGTACCCCATAATTCATAATAAACAAAATTTTACTTTGCATTAGATATCCACACATTGCTATCCTGCTCCCCTCCTACGATGAAATCATCTAAACTACAAGTTGAGGTCATCACATTCAATTCTCCTGCCTCCCAATGTTTCCATTTTTAAACTTGTACCTTTGTGTTGTATCACCCTAAACCTAATACTTGCTTCAACTTGGGCGCAGTCCACAACAAATCACATAATGCTTGTAGGTTATCATCATTCCTTATATACTCCCATGAAACTGATCCCCCTGTAAGGAGTACACAAGTACAGACGGGTGTTCATGGGATTATACATTATGGGATTAGATAAACAGAACTATACCTTTTGTCTCCACGCCCGGTTTCAGAAAGTCCTCACTCCTCCGAGAGCCTTACTTTGGACTTTCTGGAACCAGGTGAGCATATGGCTTTTCTACTTGTTATCATTTGTTTTATTCTTTTATTATTTCTTGTTACTGACTCCTCCGAGAGCCTTACTTTGGACTTTCTGGAACCAGATCGTAATACATAACGAAGTTCCAAGTTATTCCGCTCTCGTGAGAGTCGTGCCGGATTAACCTCCGGACCCCAGTGAAGGTTTCAACTGAAACCTTACACTTTTTTTAACTTGATCACTTCAAAGTTATACACAAGATTCTACCTACAATTTTTTTTCTCTCTCTTCTGTCACCCTCGGTTCTCCTTCTGTCAATCTGCCATATCTGTCATCTGCCAATTCAGTCATCAGGCTCTAGTTCGAACCAATCAAATCATCTCTGCAACCATATTCAAACCCTGAAATCAGTTCAACAACCGAATTCGCAAACGTGTCGAATGAGTGGCGCAGCATCTCTGAAACCCGACAACTTTCTTGACGATCCTGATAGCTTACTTCGTCAAGCTCGAAAGGAAAAGCAGAAATTAATTGCCGAGTCTCCTGAACCACCCCCCGCACCAAGATACCAGTGGAGACCAGAGGCATCGGTGTCCGGATCACCAGCGCCAACTGATCGAATACTCTACGCGTCTAGCAATCGAATTAGCCCTGCAGAGGTAACGGCGGTTCATTTTTCGCCTCCCACAGTCTCACCATCAGCATCCGAGAAGACGGTCATCGACCTGCATTTTCAGAAGTTGTTCGCATCAAACTTAGAAACACCACACCCTCCCGGTCATTTAACTACAGAAACACCTGAATCCAAACAAGTTGACAGTACCGTGAACGCAACTACCTTGACGTGTGACACATCGAACACAATGTCAAATGATCAGGAGACAATCGAATCCCTACGTCAGCAAGTCGAGAGTCTTCGCCTCCAAAACGAGACACTAGCCCAAGGTCGTCAAGAG